TGGCTTGAAGCTGACAGACAGCCTCTTACTTGGGAAGTGCTTGGTCAACCACTCATAAAGACAGACACAGGTGCCGGGCGGTGGTGGGGCACGCCTTTATTCCCAGCACTTGGGAAGCAGAGCCAGGCAATCTCTGTGAGTTCGAGGCCAGCCTGGACTACAGAGCGAGATCCAGGACAGGCACCAAAACTACACAGAGAAACCCTGTCTCGGGGGGTGGGGGGGGACGGGGACGACACAGGCTCATCACAGCCCAGAGTCAAGTGCACACCCCACACGCGTTTACCCAACCATCACTCAAGGACCCCAGGTCCAGGTCCTACCAATGCATCTCTCAGGGTCCCTCACCTGCTTCTCTTCCCGGGCTGTTTTCCACTCTTCAATGAGCATCTTCTTGAGGCGGAAGCCCTCTCGGGTGACCTCAGCCAGCTGCTGCAGGGACTCTTTTTCCTTACGACCCTTCTCTCTGGAGTAGACACACAAAAATACCACTAAAGACACTCAGGATCCAGCAGGTTTGGCTGTTCCAGAAGGGTCTGAGTTACCTGCCAGCTCCATCCACACCCCCCACGAACAATGGTGAGCAAGGCAAGACCCAGAACCCTCTTCAACCTGCCCCTCCAGGTTCTTTTGACCAGAGGCCTCCGTTCTGTCCTTGAGAAGACAGACAGTGTGCACAGCTTGCCTATCCTTGGGATTACAGAACAGACTAGGAAGTGGTGAGGAATGGGGTTGGAAGCTGGTCCCCAAACTGACCGAGGAGGAAGAGTAAGAACCACAGGCTCAGGCCAGTCGTGGTGATGCACACCTGGAATCCCAGCACCCTGGGAGACTGAGGCAGCCTGGTCTATACAGTGAGTACCAACCCAGCCAAGGCCCCACAGTAAGACCCTGGCTCCTCACAAAACATCAAAACCCAAACCCAGAGCTGTCGGTTTGTCAGGTGTGGTGACGACACCCGCAACTCAGCACCAGGCTGTACAGCCTGGAGGAACAAGCAGCTCAAGGTCATGATTGGCTAGCTAGCCAAGTCTGAGGCTAGTCTGGGCTATGGAGTCTCAAAAACTAAAACAAACCCCAACGTGGCAGACACAGTTGTCATCCCGACAACTAGAGGACAGAGGGAGAAGAATTATCTCCCAAAGTCCAGGTCACCCAAGATAAGCTTAAGACCCTGTCTCAAAAAGTTAAGCAGGGGCTTGGGAGATGGCTGGGGGTGGGGGTGGGGTAAGAGTGCATGTTACGTAAGCATGAGGGCCTGGGTTCAAGTCCCTAGCACCTACCGAAAAAGCTAATTGTGGCCACACATACCTGGGTGGAGACAGGGGGATTGCCAGGCCTTGCTGGCCACCAGTGAGAGACACTGTCTCAAAGGCTTACAACAGAGTGAAAGAGCAAGAAGCCCAACGTGTCCTCTCAGCTCCCTCATGCACATATCTGCACACACGTGTTCTTGTACCTTACGCACATACTACACAAACACACAAAAAGAGATCAAAAAGCCAGGCTTGACGGTGCACGCCTTTAATCCCAGAGCTTGGGGTTCGGAGGCAGGTGGATCTCTGTGACTTTGAGGACAGCCTGGTCTACAGAGTGAGTTCTGAGACAGCCAGAGCTACAAAGAGAAACTCTGTTTCAAAAGAGAGAGATTAAAAAAATAAAACATGGGGGGGGGGTGGAAAAAAATAAAAACAAGTACTGAGAGCATTAACCCAATTAGAGCTCAAGTTCAAGTCCGTCAGGCCACCAAGCACAAGCCAAGCCGTTTCTCTCCTGCACTGAGTTTCTCCAGTTTTTTGTTTTTTGAAACAGGGTCTCTGGCAGCCCATGCTTCAGACCCAGTGGAGCCAAAGAGATCTAGAACCTCCCACAGCCACCTCCCAAGTGCTCTGACTCCAGGCCTGTCCCACCAGCTCCTGTTTTTTTTGAACAGGTAAACAGTCTCAACTGCTACATAGCTGGAGGGCACGCTGGTAATGTGGAGCTCCCAAGGGGCATGACCAGTGGATGCACAAAAGGACAAAAGGCGCCACAGCGGTGGAGGTTGAGAGGAGACTCGTGAGGCCAGGCTGCCTGGGCACACCGAGGGAGAGCCTATCTCTAAAAAACAAGAGGGGCTGGAGAGACTTCACTTGCTGCTCTTCTGGAGGACCTGAATTCAACCTGTAACTCCAACTCCAGGGGACCAGACACTCTCTTCTGGCCTGGGCAGTAGACATGCATGTGGGTGACATATACTCTCTCTCTCTCTCTCTCTCTCTCTCTCTCTCTCTCTCTCTCTTTCTCTCTCTCTCACACACACACACACACACACATACACGCACGCACGCACACACACCATAAAAATAAACCTGCCTCCCAAGTGCTAGGACTGGAGGTGTGTGCCACCATACTCAGCAAATGAAAATTAACCTTAAAAAGCAAAGGAAAAAAGAAAAAAAAAAAACCGACAAGGAAGCGGCCTGACCTCCAAGTAGAGCCTGGCAAGGCAGCAGGGTACCCAGGGTACCCCTGCCACCCACCCACCTGCAGGTGTTCTCACAGACGCTGCCGCTGTTGTACTCATCTGTCCCGTCACAGCAATCTGAGGCAGAGGTGAGGGCAAAGATCAAAGAGGGGAACCCCTACCCCCCCCCCGCCCCGCCTCCTTCCCCACATCCCCAGAGTACTGCCACTTACCACATATCCCATCGTTAACCCGGCTAGAGGGGATGTAGAGGGGCTTGTACCCAGTGTTGGTGCAGTGGAAGCTGCCACTGGGACAAGCAGCTGTGCCTGCAGAAAAAGAAACTCTGTTGAATGTGCTCCAAGCCAGACTTGTCTCACCTAGTCACGGAAAGCACCGGAAAAACGGGCGTAAATTCGGTGTGGTGGTAAGGGTCTGTAATCCCAGCACTTGGGAGGTAAAAGCAGGATCAATAGGTCAAGATCACTCTCAGCTACACTGTGTGTTCAAGGCCAGCCTGGGCTACACCAAGTGTCTGAAAAACAAAAATAAACCAAGGAACAACCAAGGGGAGACAGGGCATCTTCAGGGGCCTGCGACAGAACCCTCCAGTCTTCTCCAGCTTCTCCTAAGGCCCTTCAAAAAGGCCTGACAACCCCGCCCCTCCTCCTCTGCCTTCACCAGTCCCTAGAATGCCATTAAGCCTCACTCCCCCTCCCACCTCTGAGAGGTGCTCATGCTGGCTCTTCCTGGCCAGAAACCTCACCTCCTCCTGGAAGCAATTCCCCGTTCCTCTCTGGTTGCCGACTTGGTCATATATCTGAACATTTGGTCTTTTACTTGGGAATGGAAACCAGGGGCTGAAACCTACAAATTCTACCACTGAGCTAACCCAAGCCTGTAACAGGGATCTCATTTCTGGGCCTCGTCCTGCTCACTGAGCAGGGAGCAATGGGGAGACGGGGCCCTAATCCTCAAGGGGCATCTGCTCTTGGCAAGCTCATCTAACGGGCAGTGAGGAGATGCAGAGGCAGCTCACCAGGCTCATCGGAGCCATCCTTGCAGTCGCAGTAATCATCGTTCACCTGATCGAACGGGATGGTGGCTGTGCCATCCAAACACGTGAAAGGCTTAGATTCGTCATAGAAGTGATGGTCTGGGGAAGAAAACAAGAGTTTCAGTCCAGATCTTCTCAAATAAATAAATACTACCTCTGACCTACCCATTCACTAGAATGCTACGGGAAACTGAGGCAAAAGGCGGGAAATGCCCCTCCCGACCACCAGGCTATGCACAAAAAGGACTCACTGCTGAGGGAAACGCCTCGGGGTCTCTTAACCTCTACGGCCCAGCAGAGGGGGAGCAGCAGCAGCAGCAGCAGCAGCATTCCGTCCGGGTCGAGACCGGAAGTGTGTTCTGCGACAGGAAGCAGGCTGTAGGAAGATGTGCTGTGTCCTCTCACTGCAGGAAAGAATGAAGCATCCGGTCATTGAGAGGGCTGCTTAGCCCAAACTGGACTCACCACTACTTCCGGAAAGTGAGGGCTCAATTGGCTGCCGAGTTGGAGGTGCAGGGCCAGGGGGTCTCCCCAACCCGAGCCAGTGAAAGTCTCAAAGGGAACTCAAAACCTTAGGTCTCTGTAATCGGGTGAAGTGGGCAACTCCCGCCAACGGGCCCAAAGGAATTACAATCCCTCCACACCACCCTCCCTAATGCAACCTCTAAGAAATTAGGGTGCCTTCCTCCCATCGCTACTTCATCACCTACACGAGGCCGAGACAAAGGTCAATAGCCCCCCGCACCAGCTTGGCTCAGCAGCCACGGTTCCTGCAGCAGAAAGAAAACGGAACGCTCTGGGATGCGTCACTTCCGTTTTGCTCGCCACGCTTGGAGGACGGCAACTCGGGGACGCCATGTTGGGAGTGGCAAGAGCGCGGGTGCGGCCGCTGAGGCGGCCATCTTGAGTAGGAACAATGAAGACAGCCTTAGAGAGAACAGATCGGAAGTCTAGCGCTTAATGGCGGCGCAGTGTGCCTCCATCTTGGGAGTGGCGGGTTTCTGGCCACGACCGGCGAACACGCAGGGAGAAGGGGGTGTGGGAGGGGAGACGTGAGCACGTGACCGCTGACGTGCCCAGCCCCTTCGCCAAACGATCGCGCCGCTCTTTTGCTGAGCCTCCTTGGGGGACCGCCCCTCTGAACCGCACTAGCCAGTGAGAGCCGTGGAGTGCAACGCGAGTGGTTTCCTTGGGAACGCGGGCGGGGGGAGGACGTTACTTAGCAACCGGGAGATGCTAAGAGGCCCCCAGCCAAGCAGTCAGCAAAAGTGCCTTGCCAGAGCTCAGGGAACCAGTGTTGAGGATCCTGAGCTGAAGAGGCCAACTTGTAGTTACTCTCCTACTCTTTAGAGGCTTCCTGACCTCAACCCAATCACCATGACATCTCCCCTGTGCTGGGCAGCCGCGACTGTTGTGACTAGCCAGGAGCAAGTTTCAGCGCCCTCTTCCAAAGGCAAGGGCAGTAAGGTTCAGGGCCACAGAGGCAAGGCTTTGGGCCGGGCACAGGCCTGGCCTGCACAACGAAACAAGGCGGGAACCTCCTACCATTCGGGGAAGTCTTCTGTGCATGCTCAGGTGCTTGAGTTACAAAGGAAAATCCAACTGTTAGGTAAGATGGCACAGAAGAGTCACGGATCGAGAGTGTCCACCCAGCCTTCTGAGTAGGCACCAAGTGAGAGGTGTTTTACCAGCGCGAACCTAGGTGACTAACTTGTAGATGCAAACCCTCAAATTTGTTCGTGCTTCCTACCTGTCTCTCACATGGTAATTTCATCTTTTCTGATGTGCATATGTGTGGGTGAAAAGCACAGATTCTAGGGTTCATTTTTCTTATTTAATTTTATTTATTTATTATTTTGTTTTGAGTGTCTGAGGACCGAGTGAAGTACTCTCAGAAACCAGGAGACAGCAGTGGATCTCTTGGAGCTGTGCTTACAGGTGTTAAAAGCTGACCAGTGTGGGAGCTGGAGACTGACCTTAGGCCCTCTGCAGGACCAGCAAATGCTCTTAACCACTGAGCCGTCTCTCCGGTGAAATTTTATTTTATTTTATTGGTTTTTGGTTATTTTGAAACCGGGTTTCTCTATGTATCCCTGGCTGTCCTGAAACTTGCTCTGTAGACCAGGCTGGCCTTGAACTTAGAGAGCTGCCTACCTCTGACTTGGATGTTTGGAATTTAAGGTATATGCCACTATGCCCAGCTTCTCCAGCCCAATTTTTATTTATTTATTTATTAAATTATTATTTTTGAGACTTGGTCTCATGTGGCCCAGACTGACTTGAACTCTAAGGAGACCCAACTCTACCTCTTGAGTTATAGACTTGTGCCACCATGCCTGGATTATGAGGTACTGAGGCTGGGACCCAGGGCTTCATGCATGCTACTCAAGCACTTTACTGAGTTGTATCTCCAGCCCCAGGGGAGTTTGTTTCTCTTGAGTTTGAATCTTAGCTCTGCGTAGTAGTTGTTAGCTCTTGGAGAACTAGGAGTAATCTAATTGTGTTCAGTTTTTCCATCTATAAAATGGGCATAGTAACCCCACAATGTAGTACTTGAAATCCATAAAATGTTCAAAATAGTGCACATTGTTACAAAGTAGAAAGTAAAAACTAGTGGCTTCCATTGAGGGAGATAATTCTGCCCTTTCCAGAGATCACTGAGCAAAGTCTGCAGACTTTTTTGGCTGTCATATTGCTGAGTATGGGAGACTACTACTTGGTTTTTTTTAAGCAGAGGCCGAGAGGAAGCTTTACATGTTATAAGGCCTAATACAGCCCCACAGCAAATAACTATCAAGAACAAATATTGATTATGCCAGCATTTGGAAAACCCTTGTATTCTGTTACTCTTATTGTTAAGATGTAATCTTAAAACTGTGTTGTGGTGTCGCACACCTTTAATCCCAGCATTCTGGAGGCAGAGGCAGACAGATCTCTATGAGTTCAAGGCCAGCCTGGTCTACAAAGTGAGATCCAGGATAGCCAGAGCTACACAGAGGAACCCTGTGTCAACACTCTCACCCCACCCCCAGCCAAAAAAAAAAAAAAAAAGGAGTTAATCTTACAGGCTGGGTGTAGTGGTGCATGGCTTTAATCCCAAGACAGAGGCAGGTAGATCTGTGAATTTGAGTTCAGTCTGGTCTGCATATGGAGTTCCAGGCCAGCATATGTGATGTGTGTGTGTGTATTCAAAGCCAAACAAGGTAGCATACACCTAGAATTTGGGAGGCAGGAGGATTAGGAGTGCAAGATCATCCTTGGTTATTCAGCAAGTCCAAACCCAGCCTGGGCTGAGACTCTAACTTAGGCCCTACATGTGCTAGACAAGCACTGTAGCACTTAGCTGAGCCTCACTGAGCTTAATATGCTTTTAGTTTAAGAATATTGTAACGTACGCCAGGTGTGGTAGCACGTACCTCTAACGGCAGCACTTGGAAGGCTGAGGCTAGATGACTGTCATGATTTTGAGGATATTATGGGGTATCTAGTGAGTTAAAAGCTAACCTGGGCTACAGAGTAAGACCCTGTCTAAAGAAAGAGAGAGAAAGACCAAGGAAATGTAGGTCAGCAAGATGTCTCAACAGATAAGGATGCTTGCTTCAAAGCCTGACATCCTGAGTTTGTTCCCTGGGACCTTGACTTTCTGATCCTCCTGCCTCTGCCTTCCTCATGCTAAGAGAATAAAGGAACACACCAGCACATCACCTGTTTTACAGGGTGCTAGGGATTGATACTGTCATCCGTAATAAAAGAAATTTGTGTTGGAGAGAAAGTTTTGGGTTTTTTTTTGTTTGGTTGGTTTTGTTTTGTTAAGACAAGGTCTCTCAGTTTAGCCTTAGCTGCCTTGGAACTTGCATTGTAGACTTGGCTGGCCTTGAATTCAGAAATCTGCCTGCTGAGGTCTCCTGAGTGTTGAGATTAAAGCAGTGTGCCACCACACCGGTTTGTTTATTCGTTTTTGTGCTGCTTGAGATCAGACCCAGTGCCTCATAAAGGCTAGGCTAGGCATGAGCTACAGCCATAGCCATATGGGTTTTGCTGTTTTTTTTAATTAACTTTTAAAATTTTATGCATATGAGTGTTTTACTTAAATATGTCTGTGCACCATGTGTGTGCCTGGTGCCTTTGGAGGTCTGAAGAGGGCATCAGATCCCCTGGAACTGAAGTTACAGACTATTGGGGGCTGCCTTATGGGAGCTGGGGATCAAACCTCTGGTGGAGCTGTCCTTTTAACCACAGGGCCCTCTCTCCAGCCTCTGATTTTGCTTTTTGTTTGGTTGAGTTGTTTGTTTCAAGACAGGGTTTCTCTGTGTAACAGCTCTGGCTGTCCTGGAACTCGATTTGTAGACCAGGCTGGCCTCGAACTCAGAGAGAGCTGCCTGCCTCTGCCTCCCGAGTGCTGGGATTAAAGGCGAGTGCCACCACCTTCCAGCTTTGTTTTGTTTTTTTCAAACAGGGTCTTACCCTGGCTAGCCTGTAACTCACAGCGCTCTGCCTGCCTTTGCCTCCTAAGTGCACCACCATACTATTTAGTTCATATGACTTTGACTGATAAGGAATACTTATACGTGTTTATGGGATACAGAGTGTTATCTTAGTACATTGTACCAAAACTAGATTATGTTATTTGGCATTTCCATCATCAGACATTGCTGATGTTATTGTAAAGGGCATATAATCCTTTGTGTAGCTATTTGGCAACACATGAGATGTTTTATACTGTTACTACTCTACTGTACCTTAGGGCATTAGAATTGATCCCCTGCACCCAGTTAAATGTCCTCTCTCCACCAGCAGCCACCATAATACTGTTGACTGGGCTTGATGGTGCATACCAGCAGGCTGAGGCAGAAGGATCTAGCCTAGCCTGAGCTACATACTAAGACCATTTAAAGAGATCAAACAAAAAATGGTTTGCAAAAGGTCTTGAGTGCCAGGAATGATGGGACACACCTATCATCTCAAAACTTGGGGCTTGGAGACAGGAAGATCAGGAGTTCAAGGCCACCCTTGGCTACATAGTGAGTTCCAAAGCAGCCTGGGCTATAAGAGACTTTCTCTGAGAAAAACAAGACCAAAGAGGGTGACGGTGGTGAGAGATGCCTGGGAAGTTGAAAGTGCTTGCTTCAGAATCCTCAAGAGCAGAGTTTCAGTTCTAGGGCCACATAAAAAGCTGTCGATCCTGTAAATGCCCATAACTTCAGCTCCTAGTTGGGTAGAAAATGGAGCCTCCCTGCTTTCAGCCTCCCAGACTCCAGCCCCAACATTCACAGAGAGACTCTGCCTCTGAAAGGAATGAGTAGAGGACTAGAGAGCAGCCTCAGCAGTTAAGTCTACATAATGTTCTTACAGAGGACCCAAGTTCAGTTCCCAGCACCCACTCTGGCAGCTCCCTGTCACCTCTAACTCCACCAGCTCCAGGGGATCCAATGCCGCCTTCTGGCCTCTGCAGACAATGCACACATGCACACATATGCACACACACACACACACACACACACACACACACACACTTAAAATGTTTTGAAGAATTTATTTTTAATAATGAATACGTATTTGTCTCTGTGTGAGGGGATTGTATACACAAGTGCAGGTGCCCAAGGAGGCCAGAAGGGGAATTTTGAACCGCCTGGAACTGGAGTACAGGCAGTTATGAGCTACCATGTGGGTGCTGGAACTGAACCTGGGTCCTCTGCAAGAAGAGTACTGGATCTTAACCTGCTGAGCCATCTCTCTCCAGCCTCCAAAATAAAATCATTTAAAAAGAGAAAAGAATGCGCCGAGGTGATATGGAGACACCCGATGTCTTTCTGGCCTCCAAGTGCATAGGCGCATGAACCTCCCCACATACATGTGTGGATATACTCACATAAGCATGTGCACTTCTTCCTCTTCTTAAGTAAAAGAGTTCTGGGGCTGCAGCTCAGCTGGGAGGTACTTGCCTGGCATGTTCAAGCCCCAGTTCTGCACAGACTGAGTGGGATAGGACCACACACCTGCAATCCCAGCACTTGGGAGACGGAGGGATGAGAAGCAAGAACTCAAGGCTAGCCTTGGCTTAATGATGAGTTTGTGGCCAGCCTGGGCTACAAGGAACCCTATCTAAAAACAAAAACAAAACAAACAAAACCCCACCACCACCACCAAATAGGTCTTTTCTCTGGGAAGTGCCATTCACCTACCCAGTGACTGTGACCCCTGTCTGCCCCAGAGGGTGACCGGAAGGCCTTTTATGAGAGCTCCCAATGGAACATGAAGAAGAACCAAGACACCATCAACCAGCTCCAAGAGGAGACCAAGGCTCTCCGCATGCAGCTAAAAGACATGCTTCAGGTGAGGGTGGTGAGAGTAGGGCTTGGGGTGGGGGGAACAAGGGGCCTGAGGAAATGACTGGGCTCCTCTCCTTGCCAGGGAGATTCTAAAGTGGTCCAGGCAATCATTCAGGAATGGAAGTCAGAGAAGCCGTACCTGAAGAACAGGACTTGTGAGGTTAGCCCCAGCCCCAGCCCCCTTCACTTCCTCCACACCAGCTTCCTGTCCCAGGCACTTCCTCTCCAGGCTTTCTCCATACCAGCTGCCGATCATTTATTCTCTCAATGGGAAAAATTAACATCTCTTTTTGTATATGTGCGGTCTCAGGGGCCTCAGCATGGGTATGGAGGCCAGACAGCAACTTTTGGGAGTTGGTTCTCTCCTACCATGTGGGGTTCAGTGAGGGAACTCAGACCACCGGGCAGCACTCAGCACTTTTACCACTGGGCCATCTTGCTGGTCTATCAGTGAAATCTTTATGACACACTGACCTTGTGTTTGACCCAGTGTTACTGTTGGTGGCATTTGGTGATAAGGCAAAGTGAGCCCTTTCAAGAAGGTGTGTCCTGGTGGAAGACTGACAGGTGTTGAATGTAGGGGTGCGCGCCTCCATTCTGAGCACAGAGAGGCTGAGGAAAGAGGAGCAAGAGTTCAAGGCCAGCCTGGGCTGCAGAGTGAGACCTGAAACCCTGGGTTTCGGCAGTAGGTTTCTGGAGAGATGGCTCAGCAGTTAATAGAACATACTGCTCTTGCAGAGGAGCTGAGCTGGGTTTCAAGCACCCACTTGAGGCTGGTCACAACTGGCTGTGACTCTGGCACCTAATCTCATGTCTTTGGCCTCTGAGAGCACTGCACACATTTGCACATACCCACATTCATACACATAATTAAATATGAAATATATCTTTAAAAAAGAAAGAGGAGGGGTTGGGGATTTAGCTCAGTGGTAGAGTGCTTGCCTAGCAAGCACAAGGCCCTGGGTTCGATCCTCAGCTCAAAAAAAAAAAAAAAAAAAAGAAAGAGGAAGCTGGGCACTGGTGGCACACATCTTTAGTCCCAGCACTCTGGAGGCAGAGGCAGGTGGATCTCTGAGTTCCACGCCAGCCTGGTCTACAGAGCAAGTTCCAGGACAATCAGGACTGTTGCACAGAGAAACCCTGTCTCAGGGTGGGGAAAAAAGAAAGAAAGAAAAAGAGGGGTAGAGAAGCTGAGTGCTGAGACCAAGGGCTAAAACTGGGAGACTGAAAAAGATGTGAACTACCAAGGCACTGCTTGTTTCTCGTTCTGATCAGCCCTTATATCGGGTCCGATTGGATTTGTGTCTGCCTCCCTCCTGAAAAGACCAGAGGCCCCACCTGGACAGCCTCCCTTCCCACTGGACAGCCTCCCTGCAGCTGCTCCCCTTTCCACGTGGCCAGACAGATGTTCTAGTGTTGTCTCCCTGGACGCTGACACCACAGCTAAGTTTATTGGTTTTGAGGCCACCACAGTTGGTGTGGCCAGAGCAGAGTCTGGCATTGGAATGGTGTTTGGCAGCTTGATTATTGGTGATGCCAGGAACCTGTCTTTCATGGAGCAGCTCTTCTCCCGTGCCATTTTGGGTTTTGCCCCTGTCTGAGGCCACAGGGCTCTTCTCTTTAGTGATCCCCTTCCTCATCCTCTTCCCATGTGAGGCTCTGTGGAGTCACCCACATTACTACATGCCAGTCCCACTGCTGCCATGTGCTCAGCTTTACAGTTGGGTGGGGGAAGAAAAGAGATCCAGGAATCTTTAAAACTCTAGGCACTGGAGTTGAAGCAATGGCTCAGTGGTTTAGAGCACAGAACACCTGGGTGCAATTCCCAGCACCACATGGCTGCCCACAACTGTCTAACTCCAGCTGCAAGGGATCCGATGCCCTCTTCTGGCATCCTAGGGCATCAGATACAAATGAAGCACAGATATACATGCAGACACCACACCATTACACTTAAAAATGAAATAAAATTTTAAAATGTGAAACTGTGATGGGAGATGAACTAGGAACCTGGGAAGGTGGCTCGGTCGGTGGTAAGCTTGCTGTGTTGGCATAAGTCCTATTCCCTGAACCCATATAAAAATCGGAGTGTGGACTGGCAAGATGGCCCAACATGCAAAAGTGCTTATTGCCGAGCCTGGTGACCTGGGTTTGATCTCTGAGCCCAAATGGTCCAAGGGAAGAACCAATTACCTCCAACAAGTTGTCCTCTGACCTGGACATGTGCACCCACACACATGGAAAAGGAAATAAAAACAATGGGGGTCCATGTGTGGTGGCGTGCACCTGTTATCCCAGCACTAGGGAACTGAAGAGAAGACGATCCTCAGAGCGCTGAAGTCTATGAGCAGCTAGCTTTAGGTTCAGTGAGAGACCATGTCTCAATCAGAAAGTTGGAAAACAGTAGACAAAGATACTGGACATTGATCTCTGGCCTCTGTGTACCTGGGCGAGGCGCGTGCGTGCGTGTGCACACACACACACACACACACACACACACACACACACACACACACAGAGGAGCTGAAGGTGTAGGCAGACTGCTTCCCTAGCATACATGAAGCCAAAGCCCCAGTTAATCCCCAGGGCCTCATTAAATGGGGTGCAATAGAACACTAGTATGATCCCAACATTCGGGAGGTGGAGGCAGAAGGATCAGAAGTCCAAGTTCATCTCTGGCTGGATACAGAATTTGAAGCCAGCCCAGACTACATAAAACCATGTCTTTAAAAAAAAAAAAAAGAAGCGGGTGGTGGCGCACGCCTTTAATCCCAGCACTCGGGAGGCAGAGGCAGGCGGATCTCTGTGAGTTCAAGGCCAGCCTGGTCTACAGAGTGAGTTCCACAACAGGACCCAAAGCTACACAGAGAAACCCTGTCTCGAAAAACCAAAAATAAAATAAATGTAAAAGAGACCTGGGACTATAGCTCACAGGTATAGCCACTGTCCAGCTGTGCAAGGCCCAAATCCTCCTATGTGCACATGCGCACACACACGGACAGAAAAAAATGGCTGTCAAGGGTCTTGGAAGTCAGCTAGGAGACCAGAGAGAACCAGGACTCAAGGGTTCGGTGTGGGCAAGCTGAGGTTCTGCTCTCTGGCCTCCCCTGCAGCAGGCCCTGGAGCACCTGGAGCACCAGCTGAGGGAGAAGATGAACCAGCTGAATGCCTTGCGACACCAGGTGACACTGAGGCAGAAGCAGCTCGAGGAGCTGAGGCTGCAGCACAGCCTGCGCCAGCTGGAGATGGCAGAGGCACAGGACAGCAACACAGAGGCGGCCAAGGTGGGCCTTGCTGAGGGCTGCAGGGGGCCTGGGGGAGGCGTGCGTGGTGCGGGAGGGACCCCGGCCCAGCCTGCTGTCCCCCTAGACCATGCGCAATCTGGAGAACCGGCTGGAGAAGGCCCGGATGAAGGCAGAGGAAGCGGAGCACATTACCAACGTGTACCTGCAGCTCAAGACTTACCTCCAGGTAGGGATGCTTGGGAGAGAGAGGTAGGTGAGGAGGGCGGACCTGGCCAGGGGCAGCAGTCACAGGCTTTCCCTCTCTCCATGTGCCAGGAGGAAAGTCTCAACTTGGAGAACCGGCTGGACTCCATGGAGGCCGAGGTGGTGAAGACCAAACATGAGGTGGTGGAGCTGAAGGTGGTGAATCAGGAGGCCCTGAACGCTCGGGACCTCGCCAAGGTGCTGGTCTACCTGCCCAGGGTGGAGGAGGCGTGGGGGTCCTGTAGCATGAATCTTAAAGACCTTGTGTACATCCTACTTCACAAATGAGTCTGTCAGATACGCTAAGCCTATAGGCTGAAGATGATGCCCCAACACTGCAGAGAAACCTCAGGTGACTGTCCAGGCAGCTGGCTGTTTCTGTCAACTCACAAATTTTTTGGAAGTTGCTTGCATGTACTTCCTGTTTTTATTTTTTTATTAGGTAATATTATTTTCCTTCTTGGATCTCTGAGGGAGTTGAAGATTAGTTAGTTATAGTTGAAGACTAGTTAGGATAGAAAGTGAATTAGGTACATTTTGGACTTACCAAAATAGGATAGATAATGGAATTATTTTCCCTGAATTTGTCAAATACAAATGGACTAGACATTGTTTAGGTATTTATTACTTGTATATATTGTATATAGCTATTGTACTTTTGTATATAGTTTTTCTTATGTTAGTTATAACCTTTTTCCTTTTTTCTTTTTATTAAAATAGAAAAGGGGAAATATGGTGGTATTTTATTTGTACTGAAATGTGATTTTAATTGTATGCTAATAAATAAAGTTGCCCAGGGGTCAGAGCTATTAGAGCCATAGCAAGAGGATGGCGGTGGTGGCGCACGCCTTTAATGGGACCCAGCACTTGGTAGGCAGAACTAGGTAGATCTCTGTGTGTTCAGGGATACAGCCACATTGGAGACACTCCCAGCCGCCGCTATGACAAACAGCATGTGAAGATGCCGGTAAGCCACGAGCCACGTGGCAAGGTATAGATTTATAGAAATGGATTAATTTAAGATATAAGAACAGTTAGCAAGAAGCCTGGTATGGCCATACAGTTTGTAAGCAATATAAGTCTCTGTGTTTACTTGGTTGGGTCTGAGTGGCTGTGGGACTGGCAGGTGAGAGAGATTTGTCCTGACTGTGGGCCAGGCAGAAAAACTCTAGCTACAAGGTCCTGCACAGCCGCCATTGTTATATGACTCTTCCTGGGGAGGCAGTACTAACCACAGCCAGGTGCATTGATGCACGCCTTAAATACCAGTGCTGGAGGCAGAGGCAGGCAGATCTCTGTGAGTTCCAGGCCAGCCTGGTCTACATAGAGAGTTCCAGGACAGTCAGGGCTACACAGTTAAACAACAGCAGAACATCCACCAAAGTCCAACTTGGAGAAAAATGAGTTTATTGGGCTTCCTTACAGAGCATGGGTGAGGGGTTACTGATGTGAAAGCTGTGTCCGTCTCCAGAGTTCCACTCATAAGTCTCCTCACCCAGCCCGTGTAACCTGGGGAGAGGCCCTGTGAATCTCGTTTCTTGAGCCTTGTAAGTTTCATGCACTTCCTGAGTCTTGAGCCTCCCTCTTCCTCTAGGAGGAAGTGTTTCAATTCAAAGAAAGTAGCTCCGGAACACCAAAGGCTCAGGGAATTCTAGTCAGAAGTGAGTTGTCTTTAAGTCTTTCCCAGCAATCGGAACTGCTGCTGTGCCGCCCGGGGTCCGCTGCTCCACTTCTATCCTGGATAGATGCCTGATGCCCCCTGCCCTCCCTCTAGAACCAGCTGCAGTATCTGGAGGAGACTGCGATCCGAGACCGCAAGAAGCGCGAACACTACATAACCGACTGCAAGAAGCGGGTGGAAGAGAAGAAACTTCAGACTGAGCGCATGGAGCGCAAGGTGGGCACACCTTAAGGTGCAGGGCGTCGCCAGCTCAAACCAGACGGGTCTCACGCCTCCTCTGCTTTGCACCCACATCCTGACCTAGAGCCTTCCCTACGCCTCACTTTCGTCCAAACCCCGCCCCTCCTGATGCAATTGGTTCCTCGCACAATCTCACCTCAGCCTCCTTTCCTGGGAGAGGTCATGGCCTGCAGTCGTATCCTGATTGTCTGATTCATCCTTCCCCATTTAATTTAGACCCCTGTGTTCTAAATCTGACTGGGGCTCTAGCCCGCCCCTTTCTGGAGGCCCCTCCTTCTGTGACCCCGCCTCCTTGCCCTGGTACAGAGACCACCTCTTTGACTTCTACAGGGATAACCACACCAAGACTTGGTCCTGTCCCCCACAGTTCAAGCTAAACCGGATCCTCTCCTGACCTGTGCCCTAAGCCCTTACCTGGAGCTGACTTTGATAGTGGTCTTGACTGTCCCCCACCCTCAAGCAGACGCAGCGAGAGCACATACTGCTGCAGTCAGAAGATACAATCCAGGACTACCAGCGCCACAAGGAGGAGGAGCTGAAGCAGCGCTGGGGCATGTACCAGATGGAAGTGATGTTTGGCAAGATCAAGGATGCCACTGGAGTGGCTGAATCACACGTGAGTGCCTCGGGCCAGCACTTGAGCCAGAAAAGGTTCCTCCCCCCTTAAAGGCGTCCTCTCCTGGCCCGCTGCACCTCCGGCAGAGCTGTCCACATCAGCCCTCACTTCCTTCCCTTCTGCTGACTTCTTTGGTATGTCGGTTCTGGGAGTTTTACCTGTCAGGTTCTGTTTCTCAGATCATCACTGTGTGGAATGATCTAGGATATAGTAGACCGCCCAGTATGGCCCAACCGTGGAATCCGGGCCCTGCTCTGTGCGTCACTTGTTAGGAGCCATGCTGTCTTTCCAAGACCCTGTGTGTCTCCCTCCGGTGCCTGATCCTGCTTTAGAACACTGACCGCGGCTGCGCCACACACACACACACACACACACACACACACACACACACACACACACACACGTCAGTTTCTCCAGTTTGGGTTCTCTGCACCCCGCCACTCCTCAGAAGGGGTTAATCCCCAGGCTATCCTGGCTCTGACCTGTGAGGTTAGCTGTAGACCCATTTACCAGTTCGAGGCCCCCCTTCAGAAGTGGGTCCCAGGCTGGTGAGGTGGCTCAGTGGGTGAAGATGATCGCTCCCAAGCCTGACAACTTGAGTCCCATCCCTGGGCCCCGGGTAGTGGACAGTGACAGCAGACTCTTCCAAGTCTGAAATCCACGTGGGTGCTGCAGCAGCACATGCATACACCAGCAGCGGGAGGGCTGATCGCACCCCAGAGGCACCGGTCTTTGTGCTATTGGGCCAGCTACCCAGTCAGAACTTGCTGGCACAGTGGTTTTGAAAGCGGTTGTGTTCACCACTCTGCTGTCTCCCGCATGCTGATTTTAGCTGACTCAAATGTAGGCAGGAAAGGACGTGGGGAAAAGTACAGCCTTGAAACGGCCAGGAGACTGACCCGCACGATCCTCACACACGGTCGTGTGACACAGGCAGAGTCAGACTGCCCTCCAGTCTCCCTTGACCCAGGCTCTGACCAGGGATGGGTGGCCCGCAGGCGGTGGTGCGAAGGTTCCTGGCCCAGGACGAGACCTTTACGCAGTTGGAGAATCTCAAGAGGGACAACGAGCAGACGTTGGTGAGGTTGAAGGAGGAGAAGGAGCGGCTCCAGAGCGAGCTGGAGAACCTCAAGTACTCAGGGGACGCCACACTGGTTAGGTGAGACCTCAGTGGCTGAGGGAGGCCTGGGGGGCGCTGGAGTCAGCCGCCTGCAGCTACTGAACCTCCCGGCTCCCGGCAGCCAGCAGAAGCACCGAGACCAGATGCAGGAGACACTCAAGACGGAGGAGCAGCGGCGCAACAACACCCAGGAGCAACTGGATCGCACCTTGCGAACCCTCGAGTTGGCCAAGGACTGCTTGGAGCATCTGACCAACAAACTGAGCCACGTGACAATGGTAGGCTCCGCCCTGGTAAAGGTCTACCCCTAGTGATGCTCCGCCCCAATGGCCGCCATCCCTGGGAGGTTCCACCGCAGAAAGCCCCACCCCGTCCTGGTGAGCCCTGCCCTCACCCTCCCAGAGCTTCGGAGCTTTGAAGTAAAGGTGCCACACAAGTCGTAGGATCCCAGCCCTGTCTCCTTCCCAGAACGCGAGGCTCCGTTTAAGGAAGAAAGTTCCACGCCACGCATCACTGTCCGGGTCCCACATTCCTTGGGAAGTCCTCTTTCGCTCAGCCTCAAACTGACTCCATGCGCAAAACCAACCATCCCCAACAACCCAGAACTTAAGCAGCCCTCCAGCGGTGGTGCAGCCCCTGGCGAAGAAAGTCCCACCCTATCTGCAAGAGCGCAATTTCTTTAGAAAGCCATCCTCACAATGGCCTAGTTCGTGTTATTAATCTCAAAGAGACCTCTCCATCCTTTGTATAGCTCAAGTCCAAAGGCTCCGCCTTTAAGGCAAGGCTTTAATTTTAGAGGACCCGCCTGTGGGTGGACTCTGTCTCAAAGCTCTCCCCTCCCTGGAAAAAGCCCCACTCGTGGGTGAAGCCTGTCCCTTCCCAGGGACCCTGCATCTCTCAGCTCACTTGGCTGGTCCCCACTGTAGGATGATAGCCTTTTGGCAGGAAAGAAGTTAGACCCGGATGCAGAGGACTATGTGTCCAATCTGCTGGTCGTTTTCGAGGAAAAGATGCTGAAACTGCAGGGGCAGCTAGAGACCCACGACGTGCCAGAGATGCTGCGACACATCACAGAACGCGAGGTGCACCGACATCTGCCCGCAGGGGTCCAGGCTGGGGGAGGGGTGGGACACCAGAGGGCAGGCTCAACGACGGGTGGGGACTAAGGGGTGAGCTTCATATCCAAAAAAAGAGAGGTGGGGACCGGGTGGGCCCCAGATGGCAGGACTGGAGAACCTGGGGTGACTCTGGAGAGGCCTATGGGCAGTAGGCTTGAGTGACAGTGTAGGCCTGCTGGGAAAGAGTATGCACAGAGTGGGCAGTGATCTCACTTAGAATTCGGGCATTATCTTGAGGTGAGTGGGAGAAGGAGGAACAGAGCTTCACTGCAGTCCGCACACCTCTCTCCTGCCTCTTGTAGTTCCTGAGCATGTTAGAAGGAAGACTGCCCCTCTACAACACCCGCATCGTCCTGCCGGTCTCCACCCCCAAGGACAAGTTCTTTGGTCAGTGCTCGCCAAAGGGGGATGGACGAGAGGGCACGAGGTGGCCTTAGGTCAAGGCCAAGGAGGAGGTGCATGGTGTGGTAAAGTCTGGGAAGGGGAACAGAAACGATCTCTTACCCTCCCCACCCGTCATGCCTCTGTGCAGACGAAGAGGAGAGTGAGGAGGACGACCGTGATGTGGTGACCCGCACTGCCTTCAAGCTTCGTTCCCAGAAGTTAATTGAAGCCCGCAGCAAGAAGCGCAGTAGGTCGCGCAGGTCCTAGACTCGCAGTCACGTCCCATCGGACGCCTCCAGGCCTCCAGGGAGCCCTCCGACCCTCTGGGCCCACTTACCGGTGTGGGGGGAGCCCGTGAGGCTCCTTCAAGGGCTGAAGGAGGCTGGAGCAGGGAGCACCGCTGGCCAGCAGCGCCCGGAGGAGAGGAAAGGCCAAGCCATAAGTTCCCACAGTAAATCTCTCAAGTCGGGTTAGAGCCCGCCTCAGAATCGCGCAATAAAGGTTACTGACCAACCCCCTGGGTATTCACCTCTTCTTGACCCTGCACCGCCCCCAAATGGCTGACCCCACAAAATGCAGGGCCGCAGACACTTGGCAGCTTCCAGCCTGAGATGATATGGCTCTCATCACCTACGATACAAATTCAGCGCGCTCTCCTTCCCCTCCAGACATAGGGGACAGCCCTGCACCTGGGACTGATCCACCCCAACTGAACACAACAGAGACCTTCCCGCCCGGGGACACAGACCTGTTGTCGTCCCCCCTACACCCACATCTGGAGTCAGGGAAGACTTATGGTCCGGGTGACAGATTGACACACCTCTGGGGAGGACCCGGACTTGTGGGTTGGCCCGGGTGCCGGGGTCCGGCTGGGGACCTCGGCTGGGGACCTCTGGAGCCGTGCGACGGCCTTGCCCAGCCCCGCCCCGCGCCCGGCCGCCCCGCCCCACTGCCCGCTCCCGCTGGCCCTTCCGCCTCTCTCAGCGGCGCCAGGGAGCAGGACGGGCATCGGGGCCATGGAGAGGACAGCGGGCAAAGAGCTCGCCCTGGTAAGAGGGAGCTGGGGAACCCTCGGACCCCACGTCCCTGGTCTACCCCCAGATTCAGAAACTCCAGGTATCCACCCCTCGTTTTCTAACCTTCCCGCAAAATGGATGTGCCCCGGAGTTCCCACTTGGGGGTTCAGAGTTCCTGACCCGTGAAGCGGCTGGTTTGTGGGGTGGGGACCGGGGTCTGAGCGCATCTCGGGAGGAAGCACCAGAAAGAGTCTTTGTGGCATTGGACTATGGAGTGTCCCCAAACGATACTTCATCCACTCAAGACCTGGGAGGAGGGGATCCATGGCGCAGAGGGACCCGCCTGGGATCCCACCCAGAGTCTCGCGGACTCTGCTCGGGAAAGTGGGCCAAACGGAAAGGCCGGGGGCAGAGGCGGGGGCACTGCCCTGAGCCCGCCTCCCATCCAGGCGCCGCTGCAGGACTGGGGCGAGGAGACCGAGGACGGCGCCGTGTACAGCGTCTCCCTGCGGCGACAGCGCAGTCGGCGCTCGACCCCAGAGGGGCCTGGAGACCAGCAGGTGAGGAAGGGGCTGGAGGCGAGCAGGTGAGGGAGGGGCTGGAGGTGAGCAGGTGAGGGAGGGGCTGGAGGTGAGCAGGTGAGGAAGGGGCTGGAGGCGAGCAGGTGAGGGAGGGGCTGGAGGTGAGCAGGTGAGGGAGGGGCTGGAGGCGAGCAGGTGAGGGAGGGGCTGGAGGTGAGCAGGTGAGGAAGGGGCTGGAGGCGAGCAGGTGAGGAAGGGGCTGGAGACGAGCAGGTGAGGGAGGGGCTGGAGGTGAGGAAGGGGCTGGAGGCGAGCAGGTGAGGAAGGGGCTGGAGGTGAGCAGGTGAGGAAGGGGCTGGAGGTGAGCAGGTGAGGGAGGGGCTGGAGGTGAGCAGGTGAGGGAGGGGCTGGAGGTGAGCAGGTGAGGAAGGGGCTGGAGGTGAGCAGGTGAGGAAGGGGCCTAGAGACGAGCAGGTGAGGAAGGGGCTGGAGGTGAGGAAGGGGCTGGAGGCGAGCAGGTGAGGGAGGGGCTGGAGGTGAGGAAGGGGCTGGAGGCGAGCAGGTGAGGAAGGGGCTGGAGGTGAGCAGGTGAGGAAGGGGCTGGAGGCGAGCAGGTGAGGAAGGGGCTGGAGGTGAGCAGGTGAGGAAGGGGCTGGAGGTGAGCAGGTGAGGGAGGGGCTGGAGGTGAGCAGGTGAGGGAGGGGCTGGAGGTGAGCAGGTGAGGAAGGGGCTGGAGGTGAGCAGGTGAGGAAGGGGCCTAGAGACGAGCAGGTGAGGAAGGGGCTGGAGGTGAGGAAGGGGCGCAGGTGAGGAAGGGGCTGGAGGCGAGCAGGTGAGGGAGGGGCTGGAGGCGAGCAGGTGAGGAAGGGGCTGGAGGTGAGCAGGTGAGGGCGGCCTCGGCTCAGCGGCCTGGGCGTGCGGAGGAGAGGGAAAAGCTGGAGAGCCGAGGGTGAGCCTCCCAAGAGCAGCGGGCCAGGAGAAAGGGCGGAGCTTAGGGGCGACCAGGTGAGTGGAAAGGGCCTGGGGGCTGCCAGGTGACTGGGTGTAAATCCAGGAAATGGGGTGGGGCCGAGCGATAGCGCGTCCCCCGGAGGTGAAAGTGACCGGCCGGGTGCAGGAAATCTGAAAGGAGGAGCGGCCAGGTGGGGGTAGGTGGGACCGAGGCTTGGCCAGTGGAGCGAGACTGCAAGGCTGACTGAAGCCTGGGGTGGCCGCTTGAGGAGGGAACGGAGGGCAGAGCTTAGGGCAATGGGGTGGCCTACAGGGTTGATGTGGGCATTTGATGATTGGACCTCTACTTAGGGAGTCTCAATTTTTCAAAAATGAACACGGTCAGAAGCAAAAATGAGGTGCCAGAGACGGGTGTGGTGGGAAACAAGGGGCCTGGGACGCCCTCGGGTTATTTCATCCACCGTCCCACCTCTCCCCCATCCCCCCGCAGGCTCCCAACCCGGCTGCCGACACCTTCCTCCAGTACCGCACCAGCAAGGTGCGGGCGCTGAGGGCCGCCCGACTGGAGCGGCTGGTGCATGAGTTGGTGTCCGGAGACCGTGAGCAGGATCCTGGCTTCGTGCCCGCCTTCCTGGCCACCCACCGGGCCTTTGTGCCCACAGCCCGCGTTCTGGGCTTTCTGCTACCCCCGCCCCCGCCACCACCACCTCCTGGGTCAGTCATTCTCAGGAGACTCTCAGGTCCCTAACCCCAGAACCCCCTCTGCCCCCATCCCTCAGATTTAGAACCCCAGAGCACAGGTCTTAAAGCTCTGTAGCTCCGTTCCCATCTGATAGAGGCTTTCTTCCCAGGGTAGACAGCAAGAGGGCAGAGGCGCAGGATCTGAGCTTCAGCAAGAACCTGAGGTTGGTTTCCACCCCCCATCCCCGACCCAAGGGAGAGTGGGGGAAGGGACCTCAAGGTCAGGCCTGGCCGCTGCAAGGTCGGGAAGGACTAGATCTTGGACTTAGTTTGAGTCACACACCCTTCTCTGTGCAGGGCTGTGATTTCGGTACTCGGTTCTTGGCTGCGAGACCATCCTCAGGACTTCCGGGATCCCCCTGCCCATCAGAACCTGGGCAATGTCCGAATCTTTCTGGACTGGGCAGCCCCAGGAGGGGCAGAAGCTAGGGAAGCAGAGAAACTTCTAGAAGATTTCTTGGAGGAGGCTAAGGGAGAGCAGGCAGGGGAGGATCGGCGACTGGCTTGGGCAGGTAAGGGACATTCAGTGCTGGTGAAATCCCGAGACTGTGCCACCCCTCTCAAAATGACAGACCCTGAACACATTTTATAAATGAACTCCGACGTTTTTGCATACTAGGCGACCACTACCGCGGAGCCGCATCCCCAGCCCTCGGAAAAGCTGCCTTTCCTTTCCCCCTTCCCTAACGTGTGCCAGAGGACAGTGCTGGCTGTTTCCCTCTGTGGCTGTCGACCTTGTCTGGAAACAAGGTCTCTTACTGAACCTGGAGCTCACCCATTTGCCTGCGGCTGGCCCTTGCCCAAGGTTCCCCGGCTCTGCTTCCCTGTCCCCACCCCACTCTCTGCTGCCCCAGAGCTGAGCTTGCACTGTTGTGCCTGGATTTGTGGGTGCTGGAGATCTGACCTCAGCTCCTCACACTTGCCTGGCAAACATGTGGCCCCCAGAACCATTTCTCTAGCCCCATAGGCAAGACTTTGAGTCTTATTTTCTCCACCTGATCACAAGTCCTCATCAACAATATCAGCACTTGCCTAGTGTCCCCTTGCACTCCAAGATCCTCTGTTCTCTGGCTTGGGATGTCACTTAGTGGCTAAGTACTTGCCCAGCCAAGAGCAGCAACCTGGGTTCAAATCCCAGGCCTGCCATTTGCCGATTGTGTGACCTTGGTTAGGTCTCTTCTCCTCGCTGAGACTCGATTTCCTTATGTGCGAAATGGGAATGAGGACTATGATTGCTCCATGGAATTTTCCATTTAGCACGTGTTGAGACACTAGCTCTGGCCACATAATGGTGGACTAGGGTTCTCACCCTCCTAGGAAGGACACCCCCCCACAGAAATCAGTAAGCAGTAATGGTTGGCCATATGTCTTTGTATTTTGTCTGATTTGTGTTTATTGTTATTGTGTGTGTGACACGTATCTGGATTCCTGCATGCCACAGAGTACATCACTCCTTTGGAGTCTGTTCTCTCCTTCTACTGTTATATGGGTTCTGTTGTTTTTAATGGCTGGGCCATCTGACCAGACATATTATTATTGTATGTTGCTTTTAATTTTCGACAGGATCTCAGGTAGCCCAGGCTAGCCTCAATATGTAGCCAAGGATAACCTTTAACTTCTGATCTTCCTGCCCCAACTCCCCAGTGCTGGGATTACAAGTATGTGCCACTGTACCTGGTATTATTTTTGTTACTATTGTAGTCTTTTTGTTTTATTTTTTAACTAATTTGTTTGTTTATAGCTTTATGTGTTTGGGTGCTTTTTCTGCATTAAGTGCACCATGTGCATGCGCTGCCAGCCAGTGTGAGTCAGAAGAGGACATCTGATCCCTATGCAGCTGAGGCAATTTTCCCACTGAATCTGACTTTTTCAATATTACCAGGTGCAGTGGAGTGTATGCCAAAACATCATATTGACACCTTATTATGAGTACTGAGGTACCAGCAAACACTACAAATTTGTGAGCTAGCCTGGAAGCTAGCCTGTGCTACACAGTGAGCTCCAGGCCACCCGGGGTTACATGGTGAGACCCAGTCTGAAAACAAAGTTGAGGATAGAGAGAAAAATTACAAATCTCACTCAGGTCTTGTTGAAATGTCACTTCTGGGGCTGGTGAGAGGGCTCAGCAGACAAAGGGGCCTGCAGACGGTCCTGACGGCCTGCGTTTGCTCTCTGAGACTCACATAAGAAAGGAGAGAACAGACTCCTGAGAACTGCATACACACAGTAGATGGGTGGGTTTTATTTACTTATGTGTTCATTTATTTATTTGCAGTTTATTTATTTGGTGGTGGTGGAGCACACCATGGCCCGCGTGTGCCAATAAGCCATCTCAATGAACCTAAATGAAATTTTGAGTTTTGTTGTTTTGGGTTTTTTGAGACCGTGTCTCTCTGTGTAGCCCAGGCTGGCCTGGAACTTGATATGTAGCCCAGGCTGGTCTTGAATTCATAGAGAGCGCCCTGCCTCTACTCCTGAGTGCTGGGGTGAAAGGCGCCAAATCTGACAGGAAGAAATATCACTTCTCTTCGAGTGACTCTCCTGCCCTGCGCCGCTGAGGCTGCCTTATTTTTCTGCGTGACATTTGTGACTGATTCCTGGGTTTCCTGCATCCTGTGAGCGCAGGAGCAAAGGCTCCTGTTGGCTTTGTCCCCACAAGCAGGGACAATTCGGATTAGCTAACTGAATAATTGCAGTCTGCTTATACAGAATCATCTCCTGCTGATCTCCTCCTATCTGATTCGGTGTCCCTAATCCTCATCCTTTAATCCCCCAAGCCCTGAGCTGACGAGGCCACTCCGCTGCTCTACGGAGTAGCAGCCACTTGGCTATCTATGCCTACTGACAACGTGTTTTCTCCACTTAGTTGACTACCAAGAAGTTTCCTTTCCTGCGTTCAAGTTTTAAATCTTATGGCATTTCTCTTATTTATTATGTGGTGGTGGAGTGAGTGTGTGTGTGGGGGAGCAGTTCTCTCCCTCTGCCTTGAGGGTCTTTTCTGACGAGGGTCTTTCACCAGGTGGGCGACCTCTCCAGTCCCTGATAAGAACTTTTCTTTTTGTGTGTGTGGCTAGGGATTGACCTAGGGCCTCACACCTGTGTTCTGCCGTTCAGCCAAGCAAGAATGTGGGGTTGGGGCTTGGCTTTCTGGGGTTTGCCTTTTGTTTTATTGAGATAGGGTATAGCTGTGTATGTCTGAAGCCACTGCGAAGTTTCCGCTGACCTCAGATTCCCAGTCTTGCTCCCCTGGGGAAATAAGTGTTCACCACCACATTTAGATAGAATTAGAGGCTATGTTTTTATTTTATTTTTTAAGGTTTATTTTAAATTATCTGTATATGGGGGATGACACACACAAGTGTAGGTACCTGTGGAGGCCAGAAATTTTGGATCCCTTGGAGCTGAAGTTATAAGCAGTTGTGAGCTGTCTGTCATGGATGTTTGGAACTAAACTCCAGTCTTCTGGAGTAATAGTATATGTTCTTAACATCTGAGCCATCTCTCCAGCTCTCTGTTTTTTTTTTATTTTATTTTAACATTTATTCATTTATTTTCATGTATGAAGCACATCATGTCACTGTGTGTGTGTGTGTGTGTGTGTGTGTGTGTGTGTGTGTGTGTGTGTGTGTGTGTGGTGGGGTGGGGTGGTTTCTTTGCTTTGTTTTGTTTTGAGACAATGTCTTACCATACAGCCCTGGGTGTCCTAGAACTCACAAGAGCTCCACTTGCCTTTGCCTCCCAAGTGCTAGGATCAAAGGCTGGCCGCAGCAGGCCTGGTCAAATTTGAGACTTCTTTTTTCTTCCCTCCACATTCTTACACCTTCTCATTCTCTCTCCCTCTCTCTATGTGTGTCTGTCTCTCTGTCTCTGTCTCTCTCTGTCTTTCTTTCTCTGTCTCTGTCTGTCTCTGTCTCTGTCTCTCTGTCTCTGTCTCTCTCTCGCTGGCTCGCTCGCTCCCTCTTCTTTTATTTTATGTGTGTATGTATCTGGGTGTTTTGCCTGCACTTACGTTAGTGCATCCCATGTGTACGTGACGGCCGCAGAGGCACCCTGTGGATTCAGTTGGTCCCCTGAGACTGGAGGTACAGACAGTTTTAGCTACCGTGTGGGCGCTGGGAATCCAACCCCAGTCTTTTGGAAGAGCAGAAAGTGCTCTGAACTGCGGAGCCATCCTTCCAGCCCAAAAGTGAGTTTTAAACACTGTATCTATTCCCCAGGCCCGCCCAGGGCTGCCCAGTCCCCCAGATCAGAGTTTGCAGAGGACTTCGAGGAAGAGGAAGGCCCCTGTTCAGAAGGCCCCGAGCTTCTGGACTTCAGTGTGGATGAGGTGGCGGAGCAGCTGACCCTGATGGACGTGGTGGGGACCCCAGCCAGCGGCAGGGTGGGAGGGCAGGGGGAGGCCTGCAGGGTGAGCTCCCATCTCACCCTCCTCTCCCCTACGCAGGAGCTCTTCCTGCGCGTGCGGACCTGCGAGTGCCTGGGTTCCATGTGGTCCCAGCGCGACCGGCCGGGAGCTGCAGGCATTTCCCCCACAGTGCGCGCCACCGTGGCCCAGTTCAACGCGGTTACGGGCTGCGTGCTGGGCTCGGTGCTCGCAGCGCCCGGCCTGGCGGCCTCGCAGAGGGCACAGCGCATCGAAAAGTGGATCCGCATCGCCCAGGTGTGCCCTGGGGATGGGGCTCGGGCGGGGTCCAGCAGCCAGCCTAGGGTGAGACCAGGAGAGTGGCCTGGAATTGCGGGAAACCAGCTTGGTGAGGTTAAGGATTGGAGCCTGGAAGTGGATGTGATGAAAGAATAGCATTGCAGTGGGGGATGGGAAAAGAGGAAAAAGCAGATCAGGAGTCTGGGGTGCGGGGAGCAGTGGGGGAGGGAAAAGGTGATCCTGGTGGACTTGCGAAGGGAGGCTGTGGGCACGTGTGGGAACTGAGGAACTAGAGGGAAGTAAGGCGCAGGGATGGATGGAAGAGCCAGCTCAGCCAGGAGGGGTTGAGAGCTGAGGGAGGGAACAAGGAAGAGATTCCTTGGAGAAAGGGGAGCATGTCGCTTTACACGCTTAGTCACTCTCTGGAGTCTGACCTGGTATCAGAAAACCCACCCTCAAGCCGGGTGTGCTGGCACATGCCTGTAATCCCAGCACGAGGGAGGTGGAGGCAGGAAGATCAGCCTCAGCTCTGTGAGCAGTCCTTGTCTTTACAAACAAAACGAAAACACCAAGACCCAGTTAACAGAGGAGCTGTGCCTGGGAGACAGATGTGGAGCGCGGCCGGCCGCTGGCTGACCGAGCCACCCCCTCACTCCCAGCGCTGCAGGGAACTTCGCAATTTCTCTTCTTTGCGAGCTATCCTGTCTGCCCTGCAGTCTAACCCCATCTACAGGCTCAAGCGCAGCTGGGGAGCCGTGAGCCGGTGAGTTCCGTGCCCTCTGTGCCCTCTGCCGTAAAGCCCATCCCGACTCTGACTGTGCCCTCTGCTGACCCTGGTCACGCCCCTCTCGCCCCACAGGGAACCACTGTCCACTTTCAGGAAGCTGTCGCAGATTTTTTCTGATGAGAATAATCATCTCAGCTGCCGAGCAATTCTTTCCCAGGTATTGGGTACCCCAAATTCAAGAAAGTATGGTAGTTCATGCTTATGACCCCAAAACTTGGAAGACTGAGGCAGGAGGAACACTGGTGAGTTAGAGGTCAGCCTGATCTACACAGCAAGTTACAGGTTAGCCAGGGCTACATAACAAGACCAGCCTGAACTGTGTGAGAGTCTGTCTCAAAATATCCAAAAAGTGTGGAGATGGCTCTGAGCCTCTGAGCGGCCACATAAACACCGAATGGGAGAACACTGTAATCCCAGCACGAGGGAGGCAGAGACAGGTGGACAGGGCACAGGACAGGCAATCTAGCCAAAAGTATCAAGTTCCAGGTTAAGAAAGAGACCCTAGCCGGACAGTGGTGGCGCACACCTTTAATCCCAGCACTCGGGAGGCAGAGGCACGTGAATCTCTGTGAGTTTGAGGCCAGCCTGGACTACAGAGTGAGTTCCAGGAAAGGCTCCAAAGCCACACAGAGAAACTCTATGTCTCAAAAAACCAGAAAAAGACAGAGAGAGAGAGAGAGAGAGAGAGAGAGAGAGAGAGACTCTAGCTCAAAAAATACAGAAATCAATAATAGGAAATACTTGATATGTGTATGTTTGCCTCTGTGTATATGTGTGTACTGTGTACATGCATGGTACCTACAGAGATCAAAAGAGGACATTGGATCCCCTAGAACTGGAGCTACAAATGGTTATGAATGTGGATGCTGGAAATCAAACCCGGTCATTTTTGAGAACAAGTGCTCATAACCACTGAGCCATCTCTCCAGTCCCAGGATAATTGGTGTTGACCTCTGGCCTAACACACACACACACACACACACACACACACACACACACACACACACACACACACATATTTACACACACACAGAAAACCAAAAAAAGGGCTAGGAACCTGGCTTAGTCACATGCATGAAGCCCATGTAAGTCAGACATGGTGGGGTAGCCTTTCATCCCAGCACTTGAGAGGTGGAGGACAGGTTGTTCAAGGACATCTTTGGCTACAAAGTGAGTTCAAGGTTATCCTGAACTCCAAGAGACCTTGTCTCAAAACAAAACAAAAAGGAAACAAAATTTAAAAAAGCAAAAACAAAAAACCAGGGCCTGGATGCACACACTTTCATCCCAGCACTTGGGAGACTGAGGCAGATGGATCTGTGAGTTCAAGGCCAGCCTGGTCTACTTTGCACGTTCCAGGACAGTGAGGGTTAAGGGGACTTGGAGTCCATCCCAGGGAAGCATCATATTCTCAAAACATCCTTTCCTTCGGTGATCTCGTGCAAAGCTGGCCCAACACTTCCTCTTCCGGCCTGCTTTCTCCTTCAATCATATCAACACCAGCCTTGTTTATTCATTCAGCAAAATGCAAGAAGGTCAGAGGAAAGGGTTACTTAAGGCCAGAGTCATAGCCACGGGGGGGCAGGGAAGAAGCCAGGTTCTAGGAATTTACCTTGATAAGCAGGATTTTCAAATGTGAGCCAGTACGTCCGACTTATTGCAGCAGGAGTATAAGGTTCTGGTTAGAATCGGGTACTTGTCCTCAGTGTGAATTCTGTGTAGATGAGCATGGAGCTTGATTCCTGGGTCTGGAACATTCTGTACTCCTCAAGATAGGTGGGTGCCATGCCCTCTCACCTCCTGCAGGTCTCTTCCAAATCTCTCCACCTTCAAGAGGCCCCTTCCCGGTCATCTCCACACTCCCCTTACCCACCTGATGGCCTTGTTCCTGCCTTCCCTGTTAGGGTTATCTTGGCTATCCCATCTTTCCTTCATGAATGGCCAGACATTTTGATCATTCGGTCACCCCCAGCTAGTTATCACACAACACAGCACATGACAGCACAGTAGATATTCAATAAATACCGTGGGGCTGGAGCTGGGTTGGGTTGGTTGAGGCTTACATCACATGATAACACCCTGGGTTCCATCTCCAGCACTGTATGAAACAGGTGAGGTTGTACACACCTGCCATCCCAGCACTCAGGAGGCAGAGGCAGAGGCAGGAAGACCAGGAGTTCAAAGTCACTCTATGCTGCAAAGAGAATTTGAGGCCAGCCTGGGCTTCGTAAGACCTTGTCAAAAAAAAAAAAAAAAAAAAAAAAAAAAGAACAAAATGAATGAAAGAAAATAAGAGAAGAGAAAAATACCTTGTTAATGGATAGCAAGGCAGGTGACTTCAGTCACACCTGAAGGATAGAACTCAGGAATGAGACAGGAGGATCACAAGTTTGCAAACAGCCTGGGCTACAGTGAAGACCTTATCTCAAAACAAACAAACAAACAAACATCGGGGAACCAGAGAGATGGTCAGTGGTCAAGAGCACTTGCGCTCTTGAGAGGACCTGAGTTTGGTTCCAGTGTTCCAATCATGCAGCGCCAAGGGATCTGATGCCCTCTTCTGACCTCCTGAGGCACCGCACACACACCTACACATACCCCTCCTCATACACACAAACAAAACCAAAAAACCTTCCCAGTGAAGATGTATCTCAAAGGAGGAGGCCTCAAGGGACAAAAAGCACACCTACTGTGTGCCAGGCATTGTCCTGACCCACCAAGAACCAGCACACCTACTGTGTGCCAGGCATTGTCCTGACCCACCAAGAACCAGCACACCTACTGTGTGCCAGGCATTGTCCTGACCCACCAAGAACCAGCACACCTACTGTGTGCCAGGCATTGTCCTGACCCACCAAGAACCAGCACACCTACTGTGTGCCAGGCATTATCTTTACCCACCAAGAATCAGCCCCAGCCTCCGGCTTGTGATTAACAACAACAACAAAAATTAAATTACACTTATTTCTCTGTATATGTGTGTGGGAGGGCACTCACACCACAAAGTCAGACCGGTTCTGTCCCGGTGGGTCCTGGAATTCCCACTCAGCTTGTCAGACTTGGCGGCAGGTCCCCTTTCCTACTGAGCCATCTCACCAGCCCCCAGTTTATAGTTTTTGAAGGCAACATGGGGACCTCAAAGTGGTCTCTGTGAGAAGTTTCAAAGTGGGCCTCAGGTTCCTTTAGTCTTTCCTTTCTTCTCAGGAGGAGGCCTCCGAGGGACCCCATGATGATGACTGCCTCCCCGGAAGTCGGCCATTGGTAAGTGATAGGGTTCAGGACGGGGACGGGAATGGCAAGGGGGACTCTTGGAGAGGGGCATGGGGTCAGTGATGTCAGGGAGTAACTGGAGCTTTGGGGTTGCAGAAACTGCCCCCGGGGCCTGTCCCCTACCTTGGCACCTTCCTCACAGACTTGGTTATGCTGGACACAGCCTTACCGGATACGCTGAAGGTTTGACCCCTTACCCTTGACTCCTGACCCCTGCTCTGTTACCCCCACACATTGGCCCTCCAGGTATCCACCTGTGGTCCTGCCTTGCACCCATCCCCCATACACACACCATGATGGCTCTCACCATCTTGCTCTTGAACTGGCCTTTGACCCTTGACCCTGGATGCTGTAGCTCAGGCCGACTTTGCCCCCCAGGGAAATCTCATCAACTTTGAGAAGAGGAGGAAGGTGAGTAGGTGGGTGCTTGGGTGGGTGGGATGCCCAAGGGTGGGAGGCAGGGTGGGGCAGGGTCTCAGTAGACACCCCCTCAGGAATGGGAGATCCTGGCCCGAATCCAGCAGCTACAGCATCGCTGCCAGTTCTACAGCCTGAGCCCCCGCCCACCAATCCTGGCTGCCCTTCGAGCCCAGCGCCAGCTCAGTGAGGAACAGAGGTGACACTCAGCCAAGTCCAGATCACACACAACCCACCCTTCCCGAAGCTTCCCGAAGCTTCCCAGACCCCATCCTGTAACCTTTCTTTTCTCCTGTCTGAAGGCCACCACCCGCCTCCAAACCAAAGTTTGACCCCATCCTATATTCTGATTTCAACCCTTCATGTCCAGCTAATCACTAGTCACTCAATGTCCCACCTATTCCCCCCTGTGGACTTCTGATCCCGTCATCCAGATCTGTGGCTGATCATCAGGTCCTGGTTGATGCTTCAATGTTCATTTGACCACCAACTCCAGTAGCCCTATTTTTCCCTTTCACTCTATCCAACCATGACTTTTACTGTTGATCCCCTGAGTTATCTGGCCCCGAACTTTGAAGTTGGCCCGATTCAACTCTGTGGTCTCACCCTGCAGTTTCTGTTTTATTTTCTGTTTGCAGTGCTAGTGCGTCACATGTTCTGTCTATACCCTACCCCTAAGCCACGCCCTGAGCCACGCCCCTGAGCCACGCCCCAACCCCTCACTGGGGGATTCTAGGCAAGGGCTCTGCCACTGAGCCACACCCCAACCCCTCACTGGGGGGTTCTAGGCAGGGGCTCTACCACTGAGCCACGCCCCAACCCCTCACTGGGGGGTTCTAGGCAGGGGCTTTACCACTGAGCCACACACACCCCAGCCCCTCACTGGGGGATTCTAGGCAAGCACTCTATGTTTGAGCCACGCCCCTAGCTAATATTCCCCTGTAAGTGCTGTGCACCCCACTAACCAAACAGATCATCCCATCTGTAATGCACCCTGATACCCCAGTGATTCCCATTCCTATCCTGACCTGGGCCCCTAACCCCTCCTGTCTCCCCACCCTATACTTGATTCACACCTCATGCCAGCTCTTCCCTCCTCATCCCTCGCTCTGCTTCCTGCGCCCACACCTCTCACATGCCGAACCCCCAGCTACCGAGTCTCCAGGGTCATTGAACCACCAGCTGCGTCCTGTCCCAGCTCCCCCCGTATTCGGCGTCGAATCAGCCTCACAAAGCGTCTCAGTGCGTGAGTGTCGGGATGTGTGTGGGGGAGCCATGTGGGTAGAGACTGGGGGGATCCACTCCCAGAGCTAAGCCATCCCTTGTCCTCACCCTAGGAAGCTGTCCCGGGAGAAGAACTCTTCCCCTGGTGGGAGTCCCGGGGATCCGTCCTCACCAACCTCCAGGTGAATAGCCAGGGCAAAAGGGACTAGAGACACCCGGACCAAAAGTCCGGCCAGCCACCCCACCCTGAATTCTGTGTTTCGCCAGTGTGTCTCCAGGGTCTCCCCCATCCAGTCCTAGAAGTGGAGAACCTCCTCCTGGCAGTCCTCCAGCCTCCCCAGGGCCCCAGAGCTCCAGCAACAAGGTACCATGATAATCTGTGGTGGTGGTGAGGCCTGGGACACCCAGGGTTCAGAATCTGTGTATGCACGTGGACATGCATGCATGCATGTGTGTGTGTGTGTGTGTGTGTGTACAGTACTGCAGGTGTATCGCAGAGACCAGCTGCTCTCTGCTGCTTTGTCTGGGAGACTGTACACCTCCATGGCCATATGAGCCGTCACCTACCTTCTGGCTTCTTCTCAGCCCCTCACTGGGGGGTTCTAAGCAGGGGCTCTACCACTGAGCCACACCCCAGCCCCTCACTGGGGGTTCTAGGCAGGGCTCTACCACTGAGCCACACCCCAGCCCCTCACTGGGGGGTTCTAGGCAGGGGCTCTACCACTGAGCCACACCCCAGCCCCTCACTGGGGGATTCTAGGCAGGGGTTCTACCACTGAGCCACACCCCAGCCCCTCACTGAGGGTTCTAGGTCAGTGACCAATTCTCATACTCCCAGCACTTTTATTACTTTTTGTCTTGAGACAGGTCTTACTAGGTTGCCCAGGCTAGCCTTGAACTTGTGACCCTCCTACCTTAGCCTCTCCAGTAGCTGAGATAACAGTTCTGTGCCACCAGCTCCAGCTGGCTCACTCACCTCTTCAAGGATGTACAAGTCCCTAAAAGTCTGTACACATGACAGGGAAATGGGCCAAACATCCGCAGGACTATGCAGAGGTTGCTCACTGATGAGTACTGTGGATTTCCATCTGTGAGCACACCTATGTGTGCTCACTGTGTGCTGTCTCCTCAGGAGCCTGTTGTGGCCTTGGCTTTGTGTGAATCTGGTCATGTGTCCATTTGTTTCTCTGTGTGTGATGAGGTGACATATACTCGGTCTTGTGAGTGTGCCCTAACTGTGTGGTTCCGAGTCTCTCATGTGTGAGAAAAGGGGTGTGAGGACTCTGGGTGAGTGTGTCTGTGTTCATCAGCTGATTGAATGTAGTGGGGAAGGAGCCTCGTGGCCTCCGTCACACAGATGAGCAAGGCCACAGCCTCCACCATCCCACACTGCCTACAGCTGTCTCTGAACATGGACCCCCCCTAAGACCTTGACCCTGAGCAGCTCTCGAATTCCCCTCCTTGGGCAGCAGACCTCAGAGGCCCGTGTCATCCGAGTCAGCATCGACAATAACCATGGGAACCTGTATCGGAGCATCTTGGTGAGGGGCTGGGAGGGGACAGCCTTGTCCTTAGATCTGGGACCCTGTCCCCTTACCACCTGTCCCTCTTCTAAAAGTTTTAATTACATTTATGTGGTGTGTGTGTGTGTGTGTGTGTGTGTGTGTGTGTGTGTGTGTGTGTCTTTCCTTCCACCATTCGGGTGCCAGGGATTGAGCTCGGGTTGTCACTTGGAGCAAGCTTTATCTGCTGAACCATTCCACTGGTCCTTTCCTGTCCTTCTTCTCCAGCTCACTTGTCAGGACAAAGCCCCCAGTGTGGTGCAAAGAGCCCTGGAGAAGCACAATGTGCCCCAGCCCTGGGCCCGTGACTACCAGCTCTTCCAGGTCCTGCCTGGGGACAGAGGTAAGCAGGGACAGCTTGCAGTCTAAGCCGGGGCCAGTGAGGTGGGCAGCAGTCACGACTGTGACAAACACTAATGAGCAGCCGAAGACAGGGAGGTTTAGCTTGGCTCACCGTTTGAGAGCTACGGTCCATTATGGCAGGGAGAGCAAGCGGAGCTGGGAGAAGCTCGAGGTCGCTGTTCACACACCTGGAGTCAGGAAACAGAGGTGGAGGCTGCTGCTCATCTTGCTTTCTCCTTTAAAAACTTTTTAAAATTTTACTTATCTATTTTTTTGGATGGGCTGGGCAGTGGTGGTGCATATGTTTAATCCCAGAACTCAGGAGGCAGAGGCAGGCAGATAGCTGAGTTCGAAGTCAGCGTAGTCTACAGAGTGGGTTCCAGGACAGTCAGGGCTGATACACAGAGAAACTTTGTTTCAAAAAACAAGCAAACAGCCCGCCCCATTTTCATGCCATACATAGTACATATGAGGAAGTCAGCCACAGCTTGAGGGCGTTCATTCTCTCCTACCGTGTGGGCTCCAGAGACCAAATTCAGGTTGCCAGGCTTGGCAACTGGTGCTCTTACCCACCGAGCCATCTCAGAGATCCGTTCTGTGTTCTTAACAGTGCAGGACCTCAGCCCATCAGGTAATGCCACCACATTCAGGCAGGTCCTTCGCCTCAGCTAACCTGATCCAGGTAATCGGCCCAGGCTTGCCTCTGATGTCATTTTAGTGTTCATCAAGTTACAAGTGGCACCAACCATCATAGAGCTCAGCTTGACCTGGGCTAGCAGGATCACAAGTCGATTCCAGCAGAGTGTTGAGACACCGTGAAGTGTGTAAAATGTCTGTGCCTTCATTCTGTGAGGTCAAGAGGTGGTCCTAGCTCAGGGTAGTCTTTATGGGAGTCGTGTGGCATTGGCGTTGTTCAGGTCAGATGGAAAAAGGAGATGTAGAAAGCTTGCAGGATTTGAGGTTGTTCAGGTTCAGCCTGGTGGAGCAGGAGACTGAAGGGGTTGGAAGAGGGAATGAGTCTATTTGGCTCACCGTGAGGACCCTGGAGTTATGTGAACTTGGGTTAGGACAGGGCCATGTGATCTTGGATTCAGGAGTATGAAGTTGACCAGGCTTGGACAGAAAGGCAAGAGTTTGTGCTATAAATCATGGTATAAAGTGAGATGGTCATCAGCAAAGAATGTGTGAGGGCTGGAGAGACGGCTCAGTGGTTAAGAGCACACACTCTCAAGGAGAGGACCAAGTTTGGTTCCCAGCACCCACATCAGGTAACTGATGACCACCTGTCACTCCAGCTCCAGGGGAACTGACACCTCTGACCTCTGTGGGCATCTGCAGTCACGTGCACACACACACAATTAAAATATTAAAAATTGGAGCTGGAGAGACGGTTCCGCTGGTAAAAGCACTGGCTGCTCGTTCAGAGGACCCAGGTATGATTCCCAGCCCCCACCTGGCAGCTCACAACCATACCATCATAACTCCAGTTCCTGAGGATCCAACACCCTCTCCTGGCCTCTGTGAGCACCAGGCATGCCCACGGTACACAGACATACATTCACGCAGACAGAACACCCATGCACATAAAAATGAATAGTAAAAGGCTGGGGCCACAGCTCACTTGGTAGAGCATCTGCCATGTAAGCACAAGGACCTGAACTGGATTCCCTAGAATCTGTGTCGGAAAGCTGAGCATGGTGTTGTTCATCAGTAATCCCGATGCTGGCAAGCCAGAGAGAGGAGGCTCCCTGAGGCTCACTAGCCAGCTACTCTACTTGATGGGTTTCAGGCCAGTAAGGGACCCTGTCTCAAAAACAGCAACAGTCACAGGCTCCTGAGGACAACACCTCAGTTCTCTGGAACTGTAAGTCTCCAAAGATGCATGAGCACTCACATTCATAGGCACACACAGGAGAGCATGTGAGAGGTTGAGTATGGATGTGCAGACCTGTAATCCCAGTGTTTAGGAGGCCAAGGTCAGCCTGGGCTACAGAGTGAAATCAAGGCTAGTCTGGACAATTTAGTGAGACATTGTCTTTTTTTTTTTTTTTTTTTTTTTTGGTTTTTCGAGACAGGGTTTCTCTGTGCAGCTTTGCGCCTTTCCTGGGACTCACTTGGTAGCCCAGGCTGGCCTCGAACTCACAGAGATCCGCCTGGCTCTGCCTCCCAAGTGCTGGGATTAAAGGCGTGCGCCACCACCGCCCGGCGAGACATTGTCTTAAAGAGAAAGAAAGAGCTGGAGGCAGTTGGGAGTGGAGACATGGGCTGTGATCCTAACTATTGAAGAGGTTGACAAGAAGATCCAAGTTCAAAGCCTACCTCGAACCAGATGTGGTGGCTCATACCTGTAATCCCAGCATCTAGAGAGTGAGGCAGAAGGATTGCCTTGAGTCAGAGGCCATCCTGCACTGCAAAGTAAGTTCTAGATCAGTCTGGAACTTAGTGAGACCCCGTTTCAAAAGAAAATAAAGAGCTTTGGAACGTGGCTCAGCTTCTAGAGAGCTCAGCTAACATCCTTAGGATCCTGGACTTGGTCCCGGCACAGCATATAAACCAGGCATGTTGGTGACTCCTGTAACTCCAGCCCTCAGGAGGCAGAGGCATGAGAATCAGGAGTTCAAGGTCATCCTCACCTACATAGAGCGTAGGAAGCCTGCCTAAGCTATATAAGTCCCTGTCACAAAAACTGTAACAACGGGCTGGAGAGATGGCTCAGCAGTTAAAGGCACTGGCTGCTCTTCTAGAGGACCCAGGTTCAATTCCCAGCAACCACATGGTGGCTCACAACCATCCATAATGAGATCTGGCCTGTAGACATACATGCAGGCAGAACACTGTATACATAATGAAAAAAATAAATCTTAAAAAAAAAACTATAACAAAAGTCACAAGAAAAATGCTGGCTGGGGATGTAGCTCAGTGATAGACTTCTTACCTTACATAGTCAAGGCCAGTACTTCGGAGAAAGGGCTGGGGATGTAGTTCAGTGGTACAGTGCTTGTCTAGGATGTGTGAGGCTGGGTTCAAAGCCCAGTGCCGGTGTATGTGTGTGTGATATATTATGCATCTAATTATTCGTACATATATACATACATGTATCAGTTACTTTTCTGTTGCTGTGATAACTTCCGTGATAAAGGCAACTTATAGAAGGGAGTTTATTTGGCTTCGTGGTTCCAGAGGGTGAGAGTCCATGGCAGGGTGCTGAGAGCTGAAGCTGATGGCTGACATCATGAAAGGCAAGCTCAAAGCAGGGGGTCTGAACCAGAAATGGCTTGTCTTTAAACTCTCAAAGCCCCCCACACACACCCCCACACCCCCCACACCCCGTGATGTACTTCTTCCGACAAAGCCACACCCCCTAAGCCTCTCCAAACAATGCCACCAACTGGGGACCAAGTATGCAAACACCCAGGACTATGAGGGACATCCCAGTTCCAACCCCCCCCCCCACATGCACAAAGAGTTGTTCACGTGTTGAGTGTGAAGCCCTTAGCTTAACAGGCTGCAGAGCAAGGGTGGCTGGAGCCGTCTGAGTTCATTGTCACGGGAGACCAAGCTTGCCTGGGAAGTGGTTTGGGAGAGGTTGGAGTGCAGGGGAAGCCGTTCGAATGATAGAAGGTTGCCCGAGGAGCGCCCAGACTTTGCAGGCCGCCCATCGTGGTGCCCATTTCCATGCAGAGCTCCTGATTCCGGACGGTGCCAACGTCTTCTATGCAATGAGCCCTGCCGCCCCTGGCGACTTCCTGCTGCGTCGGAAACAGGGGACGCCTTCGGCCTCCCCAACCTGAGGCAACGCTGGCCTCACTCTGGGACACAGGCACCATGGACAGCTTGGGGACCCATTTCCTGAAGAGCCTCCATCCCCAGTGGAAGCTGTTTTGCTCTCTATCCTGGGGACCCCCCCAGCATCAGCCCATCGGACCCCCAACTCCCTGGGCACTTGACCGTTATTCCAAAAACATGACTGTGTGAGAAAACTCAGAAAAATCAAGAGCCTTAAGAACTGAGAGCTTAGCTTAGTGGCAGAGCCCTTGCCCAGCATGCCCTAGACCCAGGATGGTTTCCACCACTCCCAAAAATAAAAGTCTAAGGGGTTTTGGACTATAGCATGTAGTTCATTTGGATCCTAACATGTGACAAGCAGGGCTTTGAGACCCAGTACTGAGTATATCCAGCATGTTGACATACACCCACAATCCCAGTGCTTGGGAGGTTCAGGCAGGAGGATCAGGAGTTTGTCATTCTGGGATGCATAGTGAGTTGAAGGTAAATCTGGGCGACATCATGAAACCTCATTCAAAAAGAAAAAAAAAAAAAAAACTAAGAAAGGGTTGAAACAAGCATAACCAGAGTTCAGGGGTTTCTCCCCTCAGCTTCAGAAGGTGCCGTCCTGCTTTTCTGACGCATGAGTGAAGAAATGGGGGGAGGGAAGAAGTTAGTCATCTCTTGCAAACACAGGCAGTGGGCAACTGGGCATGGTAATACATGCCTATTACCCTAGCACTGGAGGTGGAGGCGGCAGGATCTTGAGTTCAAGGTTATTTTCAGCTGTAGTGTGAGTTCCAGACCAGCCTGGGACATCATTCCCTGTCTCGATTAAGCAAAGAGAGACAGCGCAGATGAGTGAACTTGGAGGTAACCTCAAAATAGGAACAACGGCACCAGCAGCACGCTGGCTTCTGGGCTTCTGCTGTGAACTAGACCTCAACAGGGTTCGAGGCTCACTGAGTTCTTTCAGTTTCAAGGGGCTTGTACAGTGGCTTAGTAGGGAAGCCTCAGTTCAGATCCCCAGCACCCACATAAACAGCAGGGCATGGCGGGGTATGTCTATAATCCCAACTCCAGGAGGTGGAGAGAGACAGGTCCCAGGGGTTCACTAACCAGTCAGTTCAGCGTGAGACCCTGTCTCAATAATGTTGAGAGGCCATCGAGGTGGCCAGTGGGTAAAGGTGCTTGCTAGACAAGCCTGGTGACCTGAGTTCAACCCCAGGACCTGTAAAGGTGGAAGGCGAAAACTGACTCCACCAAGGTGTCTTCCGACCCACATGTATGCACCAAGGCATGTGCTCCCAACACACATCTCATATACACAGAATAGTAAATACCTTTAAAAGTAAGATGGAGAGTGATAGACACCTGACATCAACCTCTGGCCTCTGTGAGTATGCAAGAGTGAGCACACATGTGCACATAAACACACACAAACCCTATTGAAATAGACACTTGCCAAGAAGCAACTGACGTCTCCTGTATTGAAAAGTCCAATAAGGGCCGGGCAGTGGCGGCACACAGGAGGCAGAGGCGGCACACAGGAGGCAGTGGCGGCACACAGGAGGCAGAGGCGGCACACAGGAGGCAGAGGCGGCACACAGGAGGCAGAGGCGGCACACAGGAGGCAGAGGCAGGCAGATCTCCGAGTTCGAGACCAGGTCAGCCCGGTCTACAGAGCGAATTCCAGGACAGCCAGGATACACAGAGAAACCCTGTCTTGAAAAAACAACAACAGAGAGGGAGGGAGAGAGAGAGAGAGAGAGAGAGAGAGAGAGAGAGAGAGAGAGAGAGAGAGAGTGAGAGAGGAAGAAAAGAGAAAGAAAAGTCCAATAAGGGGCGGAGAGTTGGCTCAGTGGTTAAGAGCACTTGTTCTTCTTGCAAAGGATCTGGGTTCTATTCCCAGCACCCATAGGGAGGCTCACCACTTCCTCAGCATTGGGCACAGATGTGGTGCACAGACATACACACAAAATAATAAAACAAATCTTTAGAAAATTATTTAAAAAGAAAAGTCCAATAAAGTCTACAGCCATATGCCTGATCACATCTGAAAGTCCAGTAAATCTGGCTTTAGGTACAGCCCACTCCAGAGACTCGAATGACATCATCAGGATTTTGTTGCTCTTTGACTGATTGGTGAGAACGAGATTGTCTATTCTCCCACAGATTTACTCACCTTCTCTGGAGACAGAGCCACTTGATCTTCAGCCACTCAAAGTAAAAGCCACAAATGCACTCGTCACTCAGAAAGTCAAAGCTGAAGGAAGATGGGTTTAAGGCCAACCCGGGTTACATAAGAGCCCGTGTCAAAACAGGAGCACTTTTCCTGTGTTAGGGATCAAACCCAGAGCTACAACAAAAAGAAAAAAGTTGCTTGGCCTAACCCTCCTGAAGCAAATATGTCACATGATTAATTCTTGGCCAATGAGGGATACAGTGAAGGGAAGTTGGCTAATTCCAAGGGCACTCTTAAATGGGAGGGGCGAGTTTTCCCTTTCCGTATTTCCTGCTTTCTGCTGGTTAGAATGAAGACGTGAGGTGACCGTGGTCACATCCTCTGAATAACTGAGCAACAAGTGGGAAGTCACCTGGCCCCCGAGCCGAATGCTGCACGTAGATTGCTATCACCTGAGAGTACCGTCAGAGATAAATGCCCTCTTCCTGCTATCCCTTGGTTTTGTCATAATAGCCAAAAGAACAGTTTTTTGCTAGAGGGTGGTGCACACCTTTAATGCCAGAACTAAGGCAAAGGAGGTGAATTTCTGAGTTTGAGACCAGCCTGGTCTACAGGGAGAGTTCTAGAACAGCCAGGGCTGTTACACAGAGAGACTCTGTCTCTAAAAGCAAAGCAAAAGAACAAAAGGACCTTTTGGGTGTCTTGCTTTGTGTTTGTTTCTGTCATTATTATGTCTTATGTATGTTTGTACGTATTTATCATCTGTCTATCTATCCATGTATGTATATACACATCCATACATGTATCTTTGTGTATGTGTTTGTATTCATGTATGTGCGTATCCATGTATGTATGTGTCCATACATGTATCTATCCATGTACGTGTGTATGTATCCACCTATCTCTCTGTCCATCTTGGTGGTGCTGGGGATGAACCCAAGGCTCTCCACATGCTAGACAAGTGCCGCATCACTGAGCTACACCCCATTCAACTTTTTATTTGTAAAGTACAAGAAGCTAGGTGTGGTGGCACAGGTCTGTGATCCCAGTGTTCAGGAGCCTGAGACCGGAGGATTGCCACAATTCCAGGACAGTCTGGGCTATTTAGTGACACCCTGTGTCAAACAAAACAAAACAGTCCTGGGGCTGTAGCTCAGTTGGTAGAGCACTTGCCCAGCATGTTGGAGGCTCTGGGACCCATTCCCACCACATAGACCGGAGATGGTGGTGTAAACCTGCCATCCCAACACACAGAAAATGGGGGCGGGAGAGCAGAAAGTCACGATCATCCTTGGTTATACGGTGAATCTGAGGTCAGCTAGGGAAACAATGAGACCCTGCTTCAAAAAAAAGGAAAACCAGGGTCGGTGAGATGCTCGGTAGGTAAAAGTCCTTTCTGCTGAGCTTGCAGACCTAAGATCAATGCCAGGAACCCACATGGTAGGAGAGGGCTGACTCCTAAGGTAGTCCTGTGCCCTGCTGCATATGGGCATGCACACATATGCACACACACATGCACATGCACACACACATACACACAATAAATGTTTACGATTCTTAAAATCATAAATGATGTATTCCCAAATCTGTGTACTCCACAAACAGAAAACACCATACCCTGTTGCTTGTCAAACTGCACGGCCTGGTCCTTCTCACACGCCCAGTTGGTAGAAGTCCTTAGGATTCTTATTTCAAACCGGGCTCAGGAAGAGATACTACCTGGAGCGGTAGCATAGCTTCCGTCTGTCCTGCCGGCGGCGTAGCAGGCTAGATTTACAGACGTCCTGACTAGACGGGAAGAAGGTAAGTCACCTGTCCATGACCACATTAGCAAACCACCCCCCCCCCCCCGCCCCCTGACGCCGCCAACAAAACCCTGCTGCCTGCCCCACCCCCCACCCTGGTTACGGCGGCGGCCGTGCCCAAGAGGGCCTCTGTTCCCTCCGGAGGCCCGTGGCTTATCTGTCCCCGACTGCATGCTGGCCCCGCCCCCTGGAGGGAGCTGCCACTTGGAAGCTCCTGGTCAGCTGTGTCCGGCAGCTGCTGCTGACCCAGCTGTGGACTGGGGGAAAGAGGAAAGGGGAGGGGAGGCGGGGGGACACGGAGGGGCTGGCGCCCTGGGCTTCCTGAAGCTGGGGCTGCATCATGGACCACCTCAGGGCGCCCCTCTGGCCTCGGGTTGGCCCCCTCTGTCTGCTTCTTGCTGGGGCAGCCTGGGCTCCCTCACCCAGCCTCCCGGACCCCAAGTTTGAGAGCAAAGGTAAGAGCTGTACATGGGTATCTCCTCATTAAGTCCTAGAGGTCAATGCGACGGCCTGAATTCCCAGCTTGGGTCCCAGGGGCTAACGTTCTCTGAACCTCCGGAGGGAGTTTGGGGCCAAACTGGTGTCTGAACCTGATGAGGCATGTCAGCGTCTGACCCTGGAGTTATGCCCACTGGGAGAAGTCTTAGAAGGGCTTAAGAATGTTTGTTTGAAACAGGATCTCTAGGTAGACCAGGCTGGCCTTGAACTGCTAGGATTAAAGGCTAGTGTCACCATGCCTGAACTGTTTTGTTTTGTTTTGTTTTTTGTTTTTTTGAGGCAGTATCTCATGTAGCTCAGGCTGCCCTCAAACTCACTAGGTACCTGAGGTGGGCTTGAACTCCTGATCCTCCTGCCTCCATCTCCCAATTGCTGGGGTGACGGGTATTAGCCAACACATTTGGCTCTGTTTTGTGTTTTGAAGGAATCTGGGACATGGTAGAAATCGCAAGGGCAGGGTAGGTCCGAGCTCCTGTTTGGAGGTGATCGAGCTCACAGTGGTCCTGTGAAGTGGGTCAGGCAGTGGGAAAACGGGACCCATCTGCAGGCGACTGTAAACACGGTTTGGCGGGCGGATGGTGCTAGTTAGATCTCTTGTACCTCTTGCTAGGAGGAGGAAGGGGGCGGGGGACACGGTTGGCGCTATCGGGGGGCAGCCGGGTGCCTGCGAGGACCGATAGGAGGCCAGTCCTCTGCACACACAAACGCCAGGGCGGGGCCAGCACCGCTCAACTTGCAGGGTGAGTGAGCGTGTGCATGGGGGTGGGACAAGGCAGGCGAGGTCGCTACTCCTGGGAGGTCCAGAGGTGCCGCTTCTGCAAGACCCCTCCAAGGCCCTCTTAGAGAAGAGGGCGGGGCACTAAAATTATCGGGTCTGCACAGGCGACAGGAGGGAGGGTAAGGGGACTGTGGAGGACAGGCCTCCACTTCTCTGACCACCACCCACCTCCCCGCTCCATGGCAACCCCCTCCCTAGCGGCCCTGCTGGCATCCCGGGGCACCGAAGAACTTCTGTGCTTCACCCAGCGCTTGGAGGACTTGGTGTGTTTCTGGGAGGAAGCGGCGAGCTCCGGCATGGGCTTCAACTACAGCTTCTCTTACCAGCTCGAGTGAGTCCCCCAGGACTAGGTGACCTAAGGCGGGGATGGGGGCAGCAGAGCTTCCTGGACGTCATAGCCTGGAATGTCTCCCCGGGTCTGGAGTCATGGTTAAGGGTGGCAAGCTCGGGGGTGGGGATGGGTGGGGTCGCCCCCTGGTGGTGGGGCTGGAGTAATTCTCCATCAATGGGCTCGGGTGTCACATTGGAGTTGGGGCACTCCATGATGGATGGTGGTGGTCAAAATGCTCTGGTCTCCACGATCTGAGCAAAAGAGATCAGAAGCTCTCCAGTCACCTCCTACCCTCCCTGCTTATTCAACCTTTTCTTCTCGGTTCCCCCGGTCTCACAGGGGTGAGTCACGAAAGTCATGTCGCCTGCACCAGGCGCCCACAGTCCGCGGCTCGGTGCGTTTCTGGTGTTCACTGCCGACCGCGGACACGTCGAGCTTCGTGCCGCTCGAGCTGCGCGTGACGGCGGCCTCCGGATCTCCTCGCTACCACCGCATCATCCATATCAATGAAGTTGGTAGGTGAAGAGGGGACGGGAGCGACGTCGGTCGGGGTGGAGACCCGGCTGGGTCCCCGCCTACCCGATCCACTTCACTTTCCGCAGTGCTCCTGGACGCCCCCGCGGGGCTGCTGGCGCGCCGGGCAGAGGAGGGCAGCCACGTGGTGCTGCGCTGGCTGCCGCCTCCTGGGGCACCTATGACCACTCACATCCGCTACGAGGTGGACGTGTCGGCGGGCAACCGGGCAGGGGGGACCCAAAGGGTGAGAGTCCCAGAGGACAGCCCCACCCAACCTCCCCGAGTCCTGGCCCCAAGTCCCACTCCTTCAGGCCCCTCCCCCAGCGCCCAACATCCCATTGCTGTTTTTTAATTATGTGTATTTATTTGTGTATTTGCCACTGTGCACTTGTAGAGGTCAGAGAACAACTTTCGTGAGCCTTCTCCTTCCACCACTTGGGTCCACTGAGCCGGCTCGCCGCACCTTACCGTTGGCGCTCACGTCAGCTCACGCCCACTTACCCCACCCCTACTTGGCTCGGGCTTCTCTGGCAACCCATCAGAGCCGCAGCCCCCTCTCACAACTTGGTTCATAACCTCAGATCTCCAGGAGGCGCTCTCTGTGAGGTGTCTGGCTCTGCCTTTATATGGCCCAGAGCCAGCTCTTGACTTGGGGGTGGGGGTGGGGGTGGGGGAGTCCTCGCTCTGATTGGCCTTGAGCCAAAAACCCGCCTTTCCAGTTGACACCGTTACTTGAGCGCCCCCAAGTACCCTTCCCATTAATTAGGGTGCTGACTAGATGCCTCCGTGCAAGCTGCCGTAGCCTCTTGTCGTTGGGTGCTAGTTGGTTAGATCTCTCCTGGCTCCACTCGCCCCTAGGTGGAGGTTCTGGAAGGACGCACTGAGTGCGTCCTGAGCAACCTGCGGGGCGGGACGCGCTACACCTTCGCTGTTCGAGCGCGCATGGCCGAGCCGAGCTTCAGCGGCTTCTGGAGCGCCTGGTCTGAGCCTGCTTCGCTGCTGACCGCTAGCGGTGAGCCCCAGTTCCTCGGGGTGAGGGGTGAGGGGTCCAACACTCGGCAAACCTCCCTGACCTCCTTCCTGTCTCCCAGACCTGGACCCTCTCATCCTGACGCTGTCTCTCATCCTGGTTCTCATCTCGCTGCTGCTGGGAGTGCTGGCCTTGCTCTCCCACCGCCGGTGAGCCCCCCAACCCAGCTAAACTCTAACTTAGATCTCCCTCTAGGGAAAGCAAGGCAGAGGGGGGAGCGCTTGCCCAGAGCCAAACAACTGTCCGTGATAGAATGCAAGCCAGACCACGCCCAGACTCTTGAATTCTTTGAGCCTGCTGGCGTTCCCTTGACCTCGCGAAGGCTCCTTCCTGCATTCCTTTGTGGGCTCCATTTCCCAATGTAGCCAACCTTGTCAAATCAACCAGATAGGCTGTGGAAGGGATTTAAGCCCAGTGGCTTTAATGATCTGACCAGCTATGCTGAGGTATACAAAATTCCCAGTGTGCTCAAAGCTTTGCTCTTCCCACTTTTCCAGAAAGCACACATCCTGTTTGTCTTTCATGACCCTGTTTATTCACTTTGTTGGAAAACACACACACACACACACACACACACACACACACACACACACACACACACACACATTTTGGTGGTCCTGGGGATTCCACCCCCAGCCCATGGAAAGGAGTGATGAAGAGTGGGATGCAGCATAAACTGAACTCCTATGCATCCTTCAAAACTATCCCAGCTACCCTTTGTAGGGCCTCACTGATGCCTCTTCCACGGGCTGTTTCCCACTCCCACAGGAATGCTGGCGTCACTGTGGTGGGGGTCTGAGAGGGCACGGGTGAGTGTCCAGGGTCACACATCCATGGACTTGTTTCTAACAACGTTAACAGGACTCTGAAGCAGAAGATCTGGCCTGGCATCCCAAGCCCAGAGAGTGAGTTCGAGGGTCTCTTCACCACCCACAAGGGTAACTTCCAGGTAGGTGACCTGTTTGTCCACGCTGCTTCTGGGGCTGCCTGCGTGCTGAAGCCCAGGTCTCTGAGCAGGAGGGTGCTCTCTTCCCAGCTGTGGCTGCTCCAGCATGATGGCTGTCTGTGGTGGAGCCCAAGCAACTCCTTCCCAGAGGACCCACCTGCCCACCTAGAAGTCCTCTCAGAGCGCTGCTGGGGGGTGACACAGGCAGGGGAACCAGGGGCAGATGACAAGGGGCCCTTGCTGGAGCCGGTGGGCAGTGAGCATGCCCAGGACACCTACCTGGTATTGGATGAATGGTTGCTGCCCCGGAGCCCATGCAGTGAGGACCTCTCGGGATCTGGGGACAGTGTGGACCCGGTGACTATGGATGAAGGCTCAGAAGCATCTTCCTGCCCCTCTGACTTGGCCTCAAAGCCTAGGCCAGAGGGCACCTCACCTTCCAGCTTTGAGTACACCATCCTGGACCCCAACTCTCAGCGCCTGTGCCCTCGGGCACTGCCTCCTGAGCTGCCTCCCACGCCACCTCACCTGAAGTACCTGTACCTTGTGGTGTCCGATTCCGGCATCTCAACAGATTACAGTTCAGGGAGCTCCCAGGGAGTTCACGGAGACTCATCTGATGGCCCCTATTCCCACCCCTATGAGAATAGCCTTGTTCCGGACCCAGAGCCTCGGCACCCCAGCTACGTGGCCTGCTCCTAGGACTCCAGCCTACAAGATCCCAACCCCCCAACTTCTTGAACAAGGTTGGTGAGGACATACTTGAAGTCACAGCTGACCTTGGCCCTCTGCCCAGCCCAATCCTGCCCAGGAAGCGACAGCCTTGCACTGTTAAGATGGACAGTTATCTGTGTACAGAAATATATACATAGCGATTTTTCTACCATGACTTTGCCTTATTTGTGTATGTATGTGTGGGTGCATGACTCTCCCCCGCACCTTGAGGTGGGGTGCCTTGTCCCTGCTAGCTCTCTATGCTTCTGGTTGCTTCTCTGATCTCTGCTCCCATCTTGCCTCTGGATTGCTGGATCAGACCTCACACTACAACCTGGTTTTTTGTTCGTTACTTATGTGAGTTCCAGGCTTACGTGGGAAATGCTTTTACTCTCAGAGTTCTCTGGCTAGCCCATATTTTAGTCGTTTGAGACATGGTAGCTGAAGGTGACCTGGAACTCGTGATGCTCCTGCCTCTACCTCACAGGTGCTGGGACTGCAGGCTTGTTCCACCATGTGGAGCTACTGTGGTGCTGCAGACTGAACTCTAGCTTCATACATGGTAGGCAGGCACTCTGCCCTCTACCACGGCCTCTGTAAACACCCTCAAATCCCATCTTTCCCTGGATCTAGACCATGGGAAGACAGCTGAAGTCTTTGAGCTAAGATCGAGATTTCGGATCTGGCAACGTGAAGAGGGACCACAACAGTGAGGGTACGTTTCACTAGCTGCCAACACGAGCCGTCTGAAATCCCGTGCCTCGTCCACTTCTGTGACTCTGCTCCTGGGGACACGAATCAATGTCTACTCACCCCAGATAGAAAGCCTACGACAGACCAAAGTACACACGCCACCAAAGTCCAATCTGGTGAACCAGTGGGTTTTACTGGAGTTATGCACAGGAATATGGGTGAGGAGTCACTCACAGGAGTGGAAATGACTCAGCTGCATCACCAGCATGGCGGCAGCTCACACAGCTGGGAACCTGAGCATGCTGCACAGCCTGCAGGCAGCTCCCCAGGTTGGAGAGCATCCTTTCCGAGCAGCTCAGCTTGTCTGAAAGTTTCAGGGACTTCCTGAAGCCTCTGAGATGTTGACTTCTGAGCTTAAGGAGCTTCCATTGCAGAATGAATTATTACTACACCCTGGGGCTTGAGCTTATCTCCAAGACGGATTTTTTTTTTTTCAAGATTTATGTACCTAGGCCAGGCGGTGGTGGCGCACGCCTTTAATCCCAGCACTTGGGAAGCAGAGCCAGGCGGATCTCTGTGAGTTCGAGGCCAGCCTGATCTACAGAGCGAGATCCAGAACAGGCTCCAAAACCACACAGAGAAACTCTGCCTTGAAAAAAATAAAAAAAAAAAAAATTTATGGACTTTTATTTCACGTGTAAGAGTGTTCTGCTCACACGTGTGTATGCTCACCTCATGTCTAGTGCCCAGAGGCTGAAAGGAGGGCATCAGATCCCCTGGAGCTGCAAGCTGCACATGGTTGTGATGCCATGGATGCTGGGAACTGATCCCTGGTCCTGTGGGAGAATGCTTAACCACGGAGCCTTCTCTCCAGCTCCCTAGTTTTTTTGTTTGCCTTTGAGACAGTTTCACTATGTAGCCCTGGTTGGCCTGGAACATTCCATAGAGACCAGGCTGGCCTTAAACACATACAGACAGATCTGCCTGCCCCTGTGCTAGGATTAAAGGCCTGGCCCATTTTGGTTTTTTGAGACAGGGTCTAGTGTAGGCCAGAGTGGCCTCCAACACCTTCTGTAGCCAAGACAACCTTGCACTGTGACCTCCTACCTCTACGTCCCAAAGCTGGGCTTACCATACCACCATGCTCAAATTCAGTTTAACGACTTTAAAAATGTATGTCTTAAAAAAGCTAAATGCATGCAAACTCTATACAGTGTGATTCCACTCCCAACCGTATACCCTGAACACATGTGTAAGGTCACGTGTAGGACTAGACCCCCCAACAGTATATAAGCTGAGGTAACTGGGACACAGGCTCCCATGGATACGCAAGAGGAACCAAGTATGGGAGCACACTCCATAGGCCCTGCCCTCAAGATATCAGGAGTTCAAGGGCAGCCTCAGCTAGGTGTTTAGTGTGAGACTAGCCTGAGTTACACGAGATCTTATCTGGGAAAAGAACTAGGAAACATGGCTGAATCTCATGGCAAAGGAAGCCTCCGATAACCATATCTACTTATTTTAAAGGTTTTATTATTTATTATTATTAGCATGGAGGGCATGTGTGTGCCTCTACCCAAACGTGGAGGCCAGAGGACAACTTGCAGGAGTCAGGTCTAGATTTCTACCACGTGGATCCCGGGAATCAAAGCCAGGCCATCATGCTTGTTGGCAAGGCCCCTTAACTACTGAGTCACCTTGCCAGCCCCCAACAACGCTAGTTTACAAAGAAAAAAAAACTACACTTTTCAGGTCTTTGAATCTGCGCCTGTCCCTGAAGTAAGTATGCTATCCAAGGGAAACTGAGGACCAGAGAGGTTGTCGTACACCAAAGTTAATGACTGGCTTCCAGCACTTGGACCTTTTTTATCTGGGCTGGGCTTAGAAGCCTGTGTAGGCCAGGGGGTGACTGTCATCCCTCCATTGGGTAAGAAGGTCACTGACCACTCCATCCTGGGGCTCAGCTGGCCCGACTCCAGGCTGGCTCGAAGGCAGTGCTGCCGTCCCAAGCCTAGGGCATCTGGCTGCAGCCAGCACTGTGCAGGAAAATACCGCTGAAGCAATGTCAGATGTGGGGCATCACCGTCTCCTTCTCTGGGGGTCTCAAGGGCCACCACAAGCCCACAGCTGCCACTGCCTCCCAGACGGTGGCTGAAGTAGGCAGCAGTATCCAGAAGCAATGCAGCCACGTAGGCGGCCTCCTGGGCCCCCGAATCCTCTGCTAGGTATTCTTCCAGGCCGTCCAGCAGCAGAAGGGATGGCGCAGGCCCTGGGGCCTCGTGGGCAGAGGCTAACAGCTGGAGAAGCTCTGGAACTGAGGATGGGTACTGGAATCGAACCTTCTAGAAGACAGGAGAAGGCAAGATTGGATATAGGAGGCCAATGCTCCCTACTATGGGGGCCGTGACCCCAGCATACTTTCCCAGCCCAGGCTCTCACGGCCCATGCAGAAAGTTCCAGGGTGAAGCGCGGGCTCACATGTTCTCTGCCCTTCTTTCTCACCTGCCCTTTTGCAGCATGTATCACTGCCCAAGACTATTTAAGGAAAGATTCTTTTTTTCTTTGATACAGGGTCTCATGTAACCCAGGAAAAGTCATTAGCGAGAGAGAGAGGGAGAGGGAGGGGGAGGGGGGAGAGAGAGAGAGGGAGGGGAAGAGGGAGGGAGGGGAGGGAAAGAGAGAGACAGAGAGGGAGGGGGAGGGAGGGAGGGGAGGGGGAGGGAAGAGGGAGAGAAAGGGAGAGGAAAAGGGAGAGACTGCGCGTGGGCGTGCGTGCAGCGTGCGAGCGTGCGTGCGTGCTCCCACAAGAAACCAACTCCACTTTAGACCCAGGTTTCCACCCTGACCCCACCTCCTGGGCGCCCACGCTCGCTAACGCCGACCGATCATAGGATGGTCTTTCATTCAATCTTAACTAAACCCGCACTGCCCCGCCCCACGTGACTACTCCGCCTCCTCCATCCACCGCGTCCACTAGGCTTTGTGATGTGCCATTGGCCTGCCGACCTGTCACTCATGCGCCACCTACCCTGCCATTGGGTGGCACCCAGGCCTCCGGTTACCTGCAGCCGCCAGTGGTCCCGCGCCGCGGGTGTGTTGAGCGGCAGGCTCTGAAGCGGCCTTCGTGTCAGGAAGAGCACAGGCCCGCGGCCTTCCCCCGCCGCCTCCAGGGCCGTCGCAAACAGCAGCGACGTCTGCGCGGAACGCGGAGCGCCTAGCAGCAGCAGTGGCGGCCCGGCAGCTCCCTCCGCCCCGGGCCCGGCCGCGCGGCCTGCGTTCAGCACCCGCCTCAGCGCCTCCGCCATTTGCCAAGCACCGCCGACCAATCAGGGGTGCGTTCTCACGCCGGGCCCGCCCACACCGACGCCTCATTGGCTATAGTTCACAGCTTCCCTCGCGGTCAAAACACGGAGTGGGGAGGAAATAGGAGCTTGGCGTCTGCTGCCGGAAGCCGCGTGGTCAGATGAAAAGGAAGGTCGCGGGTGCAGACGCGCTCCCCGGAGACGCCCGGCCTCTAGGTCGGAGCTGGAGAGGATGGCTCAGCCGTTATTCCAAAAGACCGGGGTTCAGTTTCCGCCAGCCACAAGGTGACTGACAGTCGTCCATAACTCCCGATTCAGCGAATCCGACGCCCTCTTCTGGCCTCCGCGGGCACGAGGCACACATATATACATGCACCGCCGCCGTGCGCGCGCGCTTACACACACACACACACACACACACACACACACACACACACACACACACGTAAAAGTAAATCTTAAAAAAAAATGTAGGTCATCCTTAGCTACATATTGAAGTTTTCGGCTATCCTGAGCTACGTGAGCACCTGTCTTAAAATAAATAATAATAATAAAAACCAGACTCCTAACCTCAGCTTGCCCACCTGCAAAACGAGTATTATGAGTCCTTGTGATCATTGCAATGTGTTGGTGTGAATATTCGCTGATGTCACCAAAGGACAGTCCACAGATGGAAAGGGACATCTGTTTGTTTACAGTCTCTGCATGCTTGAATATGGAAATGTGTTGTATATGGGCTACAGACTCGGGACTCAGATTTTTTTTTTTTTTTTTTGATAGGGCCCCGGACATTTTACACTTGTCTGGAACTCTGAGGATGGCTTATGCTAGCATGCCAAGTTAATGCAGGGCTGTAGCTCAAACTCAGGGTTTTGTACATGTTAAGCAAGCATGTTACAAACTGCCACGACCCTAAGCCCTCACTGAGGGCTTTATTACATATATTTAGTTGGTGTGTGTGTATGTACTCCCATGACACAGTGTGCATGTGTTCAGAGGACAACTTGTGGGATGGGATGCAGTTCTCTTTCACCGTGTGGGTTCCCAGGATGAAAGATCTTCAGGGTTAGTGGCAGGAACCCTCAGCCATCTCACTGGCCCTGATTTCTGTTTTAATTTTTAACAATCTTTATGTGTGTGTGGGTGTGTGCAGGTGGGACCGTGGCACCCCCAGCTTCCATCTCACTCACATAACAACTACACTGCTATGTAGGCCAGACTGACTGGCCCGAGAGATTCTGGGGATCCTCCTGTCTCCACCCCCAGCTCATCACAGCCCCACAGGATACTGATACTGTGTCTACATCGTGTTCATGCCTACACAGCCAGCACTTACATCCTGAGCCCTCTCCCAGTCTCCCTCTATGAGGGTTCTTAAAGGGGCCTGTCATCTGGCTTTCTCCTTGGCCTGGGACCTTCTTAATGCTTTCTTGTGTTGATGGGAGGGAGAACATTGCTTCCCTGGAGAGAACAAGGTATGCTAAGAGAATGAGGACCTTGAATGCTTCTTCATGACAGTCTGCTGACCACACTGAGAACTGAAATTCTTTCTTCTTTAATTATTTATGTTTATTTTATTGCGTTGGTGTTTTGCCTGTATGCATGTCTGTGTGAGGGTGTCAGATCTTGGAGTTACAGACAGTTGTGAGCTGTCATGTAGGTGCTGGGAATTGAACCTGGGTCCTGGAAGAGCAGTCAGTGCTCTTAACCACTGAGCCATCTCTCCAGCCCTGAGAACTGCAATTCTTGTTAAATCACTGAATGAAGGAAGGAAGAATTAATGAGAACCAAGATCCTGATTGCTCAGCCAGTCTCTTCACCCAGACTTGGCTCTAGAGCTGTCACTCAAGCCTGTGTTTCCCTGGAAACCTTGTCTCCTAGTAACTTCAAAGTGGTACGGTTGCCTGGAGACCCAGGGACAGGGCGGAACCGCGATTTCCTGGGCTTACTCTCTCCCTCTGGGGACAGAAAACAGCTCCACAACATCCCCCGGTACACCCACACACACAGCTGGGCACCCCTACACCCTGCACACACACACACACACACACACACACACACACACACACACACACACACCCCACCATGGCATTTTGCATATATTCCCTTTTCAGACTTTCATTTACCCCCCCATACACACACTCACAGCTCAACCCTGACACAAAGAATCCCATACAGTATCCCCATTTTCACACTCTATGCCCTGTCCCTACACACACACACACACACACACACACACACACACACACACACACACACACTCTGAGATGACTATGTGATTGGCATTCCGCACACAAACATCCATCCATCCTCAGCACTGTTACACTGTTCTGTGAAGTAGGCTGCTTTAGCCTCCCACCCCCGCCCCAGACACACAGCCTGACACTGCAAAGCATGAAGTGCTCAAGCCCCAGGTCCCAGGAGCACACTAAGCACAGGCTCTTCTTGCTCCTTGCCCAGAAGAGTTGGCTTGAAGGGCCCTGTCTAGCTCTGTCTTTGTTTGGTTGGTTTCATCTTTTTCTTCCTCTCTTTCCCTCAGCACTGGGGATTGAATATAGAGCCCCAACTTGCTAAGTAAACATTCTAACACTGAGCTACATTCATCCCTGACCCTGACTGGAAATAAATACATAAAATGTAAGTGTGTGTAAGTTTTGCCTGCATGTATGTGCACAATGTATGTGCCTGATGGCCCCAGAGGCCAGAAGAGGGCATCAAATCCCCTGGGATGGATTTACAGATGGTTGTGAGCCGCTTTGTAGGTGCTGGGGATCAAACCCAGGACTTCTGGAAAATCAGCCTCTCCAGAGCTTTTTAAATGTTTCATCATTGGGCTGGAGAGATGGCTCAGTGGTTAAGAGCACTGGCTACTCTTCCAGAGGTCCTAAGTTCAATTCCCAGCAACCACATGGTGGCTCACAACCATCTATAGTGGGATCTGATGCCCTCTTCTGGCATAAAGTTGCACATGCAGATAGAACACGCATACATAAAATAAATAAATACATCTTTAAATTTTCACCATCATCAGTTATTATTACTAGTGTGCGTGTATCTGTGTGCGTGTGTGCGCATGACTGGAGGGTCATCCCACGGCAAGCAGGTGGAGGTCAGAGGACAACTTGTCTGTCTGCCTCTCTCATTCCGCCTTTACCTGGGTTCTGGAGAACTGGCAAACTCAGGTCCACAGGCTTTGCCACAAATAAGCACTCAGAGCCGCTGAGCCATCTCCCCCGAGCAGTTTTGTCTGCTTGGCTCAGGCGGCCCAGGCTGGCCTCCAGCTCACTGTGTTGCTGAGAACAGCCTTGAGTTTTGAATCCTACTGTTTTCACGTCCCAGGTGCTTGGGCTACAAGCCTACATCATCATGCCTGGCCACAAACATTGGTATACACTGGGATGGAACACAGCCTCTCACACACAAAAAAAAGTAGGCAAATGATCTACCACTGAGCTTAATTCCCAGCCCTGGAGAGCTTAGAAGCAGTTAATTGTAGCTTCTACCTGAGGTTGTCATTTGTGATGTGCGTCTTAGCAGGACAGCCCTCTTCCCACCCTTAAGGCCCTCCATTGCCCGCCCTCTGAGTCAGCACCAAGGACAAGGTCAGCCGGGCGCTGTCCGCGGTCCTGAGACTGTGCTCCCTCCCTGACAGGCCAGGAAGTTTCAAGGCCTGCAGGCCCCACAGATGATGTGTGTGAGTTTTGCAAGCAGCTCTGGTCAGTCAAGACAAAGGCTTTATGATCAAGTGAACACTCTCATGGGTGATTTCCCCGTGGCCAGTGACCAGCCCCTCCACCTCGCAGACCGCCTCCTCCTTCTCTGTCTGCTCTTCATTCACTGAGTCCCAGCAAACACAGGCATCCTTGTTTTTTTTCCTGGAGGCATGGGGCTCACCTCAGGACCTTTGCACCTGCTGTCTTGTTTACCTGGGATTCTTACTGCCCCCCCCCCACATACTCTGGTTCATGTGACTCTCCTTCTCTCTCTCTCTCTCTCTCTCTCTCTCTCTCTCTCTCTCTCTCTCTCTCTGTCTCCAGATGTTTGTGACTCTCTTACTGCCACACATCCACACACATTCTTCAGATGCTCATGTGACTTTCTTCCCTCACATCTCACTTATGCTGTTTTCTTCTCAGCGGACTCCCAGAAAACTCTTTAAATATGGAATCTGTCTCCATTCCAGAACTCTCTCACACACACTTTCTCCCTTCCTGCTGATGTAGCCCAGGCTGGATTCCAACCTGTTGTGTAGCCGAGGATGACCGTGGACTCCTCACTGTCCTGCTCCTCCACCTCCCAAGTACTGAGATCACAGGCATGGGCCACTATGATTAGCTACTCACCCTCTCTGGAAATGTTTCATTGCCTTTATTTAGCATGAGGAAAGTGACATTGTGCTGAGGTCAGAGGACAGTTGCATGAGTCGGTTCTCTTCCCATCCTGTGGTTCTTGAGCAACAGACTCAGGTTTGGCAGCAAGCACCTTTACCCAGTGATCCATCTCTCCATCCCTTCAATTTTCTTAACTTAAAAAAGCATTTTAGCCAAGTGGTGGCGGAGCACGCCTTTGATCCCAGCACTCAGGAGGCAGAGCCAGGCGGATCTCTGTGAGTTCGAGGCCAGCCTGGTCTACAGAGTGAGATCCAAGACAGGCACCAAAACTACACAGAGAAGCCCTGTCTTGAAAAACTACAACAACAAAAGCATTTTAAATCGTGTGTGTGTGTGTGTGTGTGTGTGTGTGTGTGTGTGTGTGTGTGTACCATGTGAGTGTGAGTGCACCTTGAGGCAGAAGACAGCATCAGACCCCTTGGAGCTGAACTTATAGCTCCTACATGAGCACTGAGAACAGACCTTCACTCAGCCACGTCTCCAGGCCCTCTTTTTAACATTACCATTATTATTATTATTAATTATTATTACTGGAGAGTCATGGAGGGAGACAGAGAGGATGTGCCACGCTGGACGTGTGAAGCTCTCCAGTTTGTCCTTTCCTCACACCCTGGGTTCTAGGGATGGAACTCAGGTTGTCAGTCTCCGAGAGAAGTGTTTTCACCTGTTCAGCTATCTCACTGGCTCTCACCCCACAACTCTTACATCACCTTCCCTGGCCTGAGTTTTCTTCTGGTCAGATATCAATACCTACATGTCAGAGATCTAAAGCCCAGGTATTGGGGTACACCTGGAATCCCAGCGCTGGGGAGGCTGAGGAAGCACGGCCATGGGCTACACGAGACCCTAGAAATCTCAAGCCCTTTTTTTATCCTTGAACCTAGAGTTTGGAATCGATACGGTTTCATATTTGAGGCTTTGGGGATGTGCGTGACAGGGTCTCAGGCAACCCAATCTGATCTCCAACTTGCTACGTAGCCAAAGATGATCTTGAATTCCAGATCCCTGTGCCTCCACCTCCCCAGTGTTGACTACAGGCACATGCCACTACACCCAGTTTATGAGAAGTTGAAGATGGATGTTAGCTAGGCAAGCACTCTCCCAACCACCCCACATCCCTAGCCCTGATCCAGGATTTTGGCCTGTGTCACTGCCTCCACGGCC